CCTGCACAACACCACTGGTTATCGGTCGGGGTGTAGATGTATTAGAGTTAATCTTGGTTATTTGATATCTGTTCGTAAGAAAAGACTTGATCCATTGCAAAAGGGGATTTATAATTCCAACTGACTTCAGTCTGTTGATTAGAAGATTATGAGGTACTTTATCAAAGGCTTTTTTAATATCGAAATATAGTATAAACACTAGTTTCTTTTGGTCTGGTATGCGAGTAAGTTCGTTAAAGAAGTCTACCAGACATGTATTGCAGGACCTTGTTCTAATGAAGCCGTGTTGTGACGGGTCTATTAGATCTTCCTTGAGTAGGTGATCAGATAGTTGATTTTGTATCACTTTTTCCATTATGCGTGATATGACTGGAGTGATATTTATAGGTCTGTAGTTTTCTACCAGGTTTCTCGGTCCGGATTTGTGTTTGGGAAGAACATACGTTACCTTCCAGGTTTCCGGATATGTACCTGTCTCTAAAGATAATGTGTATATTTTGAGTAGTAGCGTCTGTATGTCCGGCCCTGACATTTTATAAACGATTGAAGGGATGTCATCGGCACCAGAACTCGCATTTGGCTTAAGGGTTTTAATGGCGGTATGTATATTCCTAATGTCGAAGTTTATGGTACTAAGATAGTTTTTGCCGGTGCACTTTATGTCGATATCTGGGGCATCAGATGTATTCCCATTGTGAGAAAACCATTCACTTAATAGTTCACATATGACGGTTTGGTCATTATACGTTACTCCATCGTGCAGTAAGGAGTGAATGTTGTTGTCTGTGTTCTTTCTTATACGTTTCGTGAGGAGACGACATAGGGCTTGGGCTTTAGATGCAGCAGCGAGCGCAGTACGTTCCTCTACCTGTTTATGCTTGTTGTGTTGACTTTGTACTCCGTCAAGTACAGAGTATATCTGGTGCAGGGCACTGAAGTCTTTTGATATATAGTACATCCTTTTCAGTTTTCTCAGTTTAGACCTAGTCTTTTGGTTTATATAGGGAGTAACTGTTTTAAGACCAATTTTAGAGGGTATAGTAGTGTCTAGTGCAGATTTGGTGGTGATATTGAATATTTCTAATGTTTCTAAGAGGTTATTACTGGTAAAGAAACTGCCCCAGTCAGAGTGCTTTATTAGAAATCGAAAGCTTTCCCAGTCAGCGTTTGCATAGTCTCTATATTGGAATCGCGTTTTTAATGTCTTTAATTTGTTGCATATGGCAAGAATCGGAAGGGTGCAGAGGACTATTTTATGATCGCTGTTGTGAAACTTTTCGCTAACCACCATTGATGTTGGTGTGACACTATGACAGAATATCAAGTCAAGAATGTTGTGATTTCGTGTAGGCAGGTGTACATGTTGTTGCCAGCCGTGTATGTCTAAGGACCTAAGTATGCTTTCAAAGCACAATGGGCCAGAATGTGTCTTCCAGTTGATGGTGGGAAGGTTGAAATCACCACATACAATTTTGTATGTGAAGTCAAGCGAGGCAGCCTGAGCAAATGACTCACTTATAATAGTGTCAGTTGAACTAGGAGTGTTAGGAGCTCGATATATGCATCCGATTAGTATTTTACATTCATGAGTGTGCACAGTAAGCCATATCGATTCAGGAAGTTTGCTGAGGACGTGGTCGCTATAGGTTTCCGCTCTCAAATTTTTTGATACATAAACGAGACAACCACCACCCTTCTTGGTGACTCGATCACAGCGGAAGAGCTCATAAGTGTCTATTTGTAGAAATGTGTCTGTGGTATCGGAGGACAGCCAACTTTCCGTTATCAAAACAAGTGAGGGGTTGTTTAAAAGCAATAGGGTGCGTAGGTAAGTCATCTTACTTTGTACAGATCGAGCGTTGATTAACATAAGTGTCAGGTACGGTGACTGTTTGTCTAGTAGAAGGGTATGATGTAAACCGAGTGGTTTGTCTGTTTTGCCCTGAGAAAAGGAAGAATTGGGAGCGTTGACTCCATATTGATGAGTGTTTAGTTTATTACCAGTAGGGTTAATGCAAGAAGGGTAGTCGGGTGTGGTTTTGGTGAAAGAAGTATGTCTAAGAGTGGAAGGTAGAGTCGAATGATTAGGTAATGTGTCCGGGGAATGATCAGGGGGTTCAGTCAAGGAGTTTTCAAGACTAGAGACAGTTATCGAAGTTGAGTAGGATGTGCTACTCCCCATTAAATCGGAGTATATAGATGGTTTCAGAATAGTGGGATTGTCGCCCTCAACATTTGGAGACCCCATAGCAGTAATGTTGAGGGGGAGGGAGATAAAAAAGGATGAGATAGTGTGCATGTCGAATTAGGGGGGACCAAACCGTTGTATTGGGTGGCTTGACTTAGATAGTACCTAGAATCTGTAGGTGGGTTCCCAAGTAGGCCAGCGTTATGGCTTCCTCGTGTGCGGTGGGCAATTTTAGTCCTATTGTGGTTAGTTGGGGAGGTTGTATGTTTCTGGTAAGGGATGAAGGAATGCCTGTTATTGTTGCCAGGAGAGGTGTTTATGTTGTGTATAGTTTTGTGTTGGTTCATGGGGCTTACAAGGTTGACACCATATGACTTATGGGTATCACGTGTGGGTGTGGTTCTTGTCGAGTGTCGTTTCACATTAGGATGAGTGGGTGTTGCCAGTTCACTATGTTTGTTGTAGGGCATTCTATTACTATGAGAAGGTGCATGTTTTGGGTTAGGGGTGCTGGAGTATTGGTGGGTTTTTACGGAGAGTTTGGTATTTTTTCGCACAGCGGTGTTTGCGGGTCTGTAGCTGTTAGCGCGTTCCCTGGGAGGATCATTTTTAGGCATTTTATAAGGGCCGCTAGGGTAATACTTGGACGCTATTGAGGCATAAGTGGTTTGGCATTTTGGGGTAGCTGAGTGTCTGGGCTGAGGGTGAGTGGTTGTCGCTGCTTTATGTGCGGTCTTGTCCTTAGGACTAATAGCAGTGTCCGAAGTGCCTCCGTTTTTTGGGGGGGCAGTGTATGATATTTTAGGATTTGTGCAGTGACAAGAGCTGTAGCTGCCACGGCTACGTAAGCTGGGTTGATCAGTTTGTGTTCCATCGCAGATTCGACGCTGGATAGCGGTCCTGTCATGAATGATCCTAATATTTTTAAATGTTGGAATACGCCTCAGTAATGACTGACTATTGAGGAGTTGATTAGCTTCAGTGGTGCTACCAAACTAAAATAGAATGGGACAGGAGGCTTTAGTGTGTGCCTTACGTAATCTTCTTGTTACACACCAAGATTGTGACAATCCACATTCTTGTAGCAGAGTATTTTTAGCAATCTTTATGTTCGTACTATCAGGTATATTATACACAATAACATTCTGCATACACTGAAGTCTTTTCAACACTTCAGATGATATATGGTCAATTACTTTTTCAGTGTTTTTTATAATTTCCAGATCGGGATTTTCTGGAACACTGATTAAATATTTGTAAGGTAATAGGTCTTGAATAGTTTGGGTGAGGCTAAGTTCTGTTTGGCTGCTTTTAGGTCTACCAGTGGTGAGATTATCGGAGTTTATATCAAAGTTTCTAAAGTCGATATGGTTACATACAGGCCTGTTGCAGGTGTCTAGCGGATGTTCACTTTGTGCACACTTAGTTGGGGGATGGGGTATATGTCTGGGTGAGTAGTCAAGATCTACATCACCGGGCTGGCTATTGTAGGCAGGCTTACATGTACTCCGTGGGCCGCTACTCAGGATGGCCGATTGTGAGATTGCTGGGTGTTTGGGGTCAACAGCACTGTCTAAATACTGCTCACAACATGTGGTGTTTTTGTTTGGACTGACAAATGATGTCGACTCTAACGGTATGTGACTGTTCTTATTTATATCGACAAGCGAGATGCAAGGTAGTGATGTCTTGTCCAAGTAAACGGTGCACGTTTAGTGTGGCTGAGGGAAGATCAGAGTAGGATGCAGACTGATCAGTGTGTTTATAAGGTTTCACATTATTCGCTTTAGTGACTGATTTAGATCTTTTGCAGGTGCTATAGGCATCAGGAGAGATTATATGTTTTTTAGATGGCCTGGACATTATCGGAAGTAATGTAAATACAAAGTTTAATTAGGTGGACGGCGATAGCTGTAATTTAACTTAGTGAACGTGTAAAGTTTTATGGTAGGATCAGACCCAGTATTAGATAAGAGTAAATATATTAACGTTAATTGGTGATAGAGATAGCGTGAGAATTAGCAAGATTAATTTATGACGTTGAGTTCCTAAATAAGGTGTCAAGTTGATAGAACCCTATCAGTGACGAATTATTTATCGCTATTAAGTGTTAAATTAAAGAGAAAAACTAATAGGAAAATAAAATAATACCACGTGAAAAAAAGTTACAACCTTCAAAAGCGCGCGCGAAAGTGGTCATAGTTTACAGCAAGCGCTCTACGATTTCACTTTATAACAACTATAAACTTAATAAGTTGGGAAGCATTTTGCGAACCAACAAATGCTGTAATTTATAGATCATGCCTGTAAAAACGGTGTGTACCTGCACATGCAGAAATATATTATTATTATAGTACGGAAAGACGACCAGAAGCTGCTACACTTAGTAAGCTATCAGTAGAGTGTTTACCAACGACAAAGTCGTTGGGTTTAAACTTCTGGCTGGCCACGTCTTAGGATCGTCACTGCCCCACTAGGGGGGAGTGATCTGTAGCGGTAAATAAGTCCCCAAACTATATAGCTCTGTAAGTTTTCCACATTGGATGCTGACCATATGTTTTAGTGGACTCATCCAGCTGAAGGCGCTCGGTCATGCATCCGCACCAGATCACGTGTGGTAACGCCGTGTTCAACATCAACCGCAATCGCTAGCCAGATTAGATCAGAGAATTCCGATATATTGGTCGTCGCCAAATATACTCTTCCGATCTCCTCGACTCTGTCTTTTGATTTCTCTGGGTGGGAACGAAATACATTAGAAGGTGTTACTGGTAGAAGCGTTGTCAAACACTGAATACCTGTGACATCATCGATGGGAAGGGAAATTATTAAGTAAGCTGAATTATTTCCGAGACATTTCAGTCGTTTTTCTTGTTGATCGTGAGAGAACTGTAGCGATTTGTCGCGAGGGAAGCATATTGATAATAATAAACACAAGACCAAAGGTCATGTCGACGTTCGTACATAAATTTTGGAGACCAAGTATGTTTTTCAAACCCTTGACAGTCTTTACTGACATTTGTCTTAATTATTAAAAGCTTTCGAAAGATCATAAAGAAGTTGTTTAAAGCCCTGCTTATATGATTAGTAATTGATGTTTGTTAGACAACCAAAATTTGATCAACATTGCCAGTATAAGCCATCTTTTCTGATAAGAAGCTGAGCTTCCTTGACGTCACGCTAAGCAGACGAAGTGACGGCACATTAAGTAGAAGCGTGTATAGAAGAAACCCCTCTTCATGCCAATATACTCACTTCTGCAGTTTCACACCCGTCCGGTACAAGAGGAATTTGGTCAGATGTCTCACGAGCAGAGCAAAAAAGATCTGTACAGTAGACACTCTAAGTCAGGAGCTTGAATTTCTCAAGAACTCACTGACCGAGATCGGCTACCCCAGCGCGTTCATCAAGAAATACATGCAGGATATAATAAAGAAGTCGGAGATTTCGACTGTTCGTAAGAAACCTTTATACATGAAAGTGCAATTCAACGGGGATGTGGCTAGTGACACTCTGAAATATAGGTTAACCAAAGTAATCACCAAGACATTCTACGCAGCCAATCTTGCGTTGACCTTCTCTTGTCGACCAGCGATGTCTACTCAAACGAAGGATAAGTTACCTGAGTTGGCCTCTTCCATGTGCATTTACAAATTCAGCTGCTCCTGTGGAGATAGCTATATAGGGCGTACTACCAGGCAACTTAACCAACGAATGAGTGAACATCTACCAACTTGGTACATAAAGGGTCAGAGAAAAACTATTCGCAGTTCTATACTAGCACATCTTATTGATAGCGGTCATGCAGTAGAGAAATCGAAATCATTTCGAGTTATCTATCGTATACCTCCATCATTTCCCGACGGAGTCCGTTCCCGTCTCCTATATATAGCTGAAGCCATTGGAATTCGTACATATAACCCCAATCTATGTGTACAGAAGAAATACGTGACCCCTCTATCCCTTCCATGGCCAGTTATAACTTAACTAACAATTTTATATATATATTTTTTTATTATTTTTTATTATTTTTTATTTTAAATTTTATTATTATCATTATTTATTTTATTCTATCTGTGTTATTGTTAACCTTATTTCCACATCCATTATTTGTTTGTCATTATCCGCCTCTTTGTATTCTTCACTATCTAATTATTTACACACATCTTATTACGTAATGATTTTAATGTTTTGTGATTACTATTCCTAGTCTATTTACCCATGTTTATTTGACCTTCTATTTCCAACGATTAACTATTGATAAGAGTTTGTTATTTTAGTTTATTATTCTTACCACTATCTGTTCACCTGTCTTCGTACTATCAACTTGTACTTTTACCTATTTTATGTGTAGTGACTTATTCTATTTCATTGTGATTATTGACTCATATTGCCTTGATTGGTTTAAAATTTTCGTATAAATATTCATGTATATTAGAGTAAAGCCTGATGACGATCTAATTGAAAACAATTGTTCGCTTATATGTGTTGTTCTAATTCTTCCATTCATTTAGTGGGTAAGTAACGTACGTTGATGAAATGTTAATGAACCTTCAAATTCATGTATCTTATTACAAGTTTGTTTATTTTGCATCGGATCATGTGTGCACTAAACATAATGTATATCACGGTCAATAGAGATGCGTTTTTTACTCAAAAAAACATAGTGACGAGGGGCTCGAAGTTTTTTAGTCACTTCTACCTAACATTTTACTGAGCATAGACAAATACAATCAAACTTGGGAAATGATTTGGATAACTATGGGGATAGTACGAGGGAATAAGATAATCAAATACCTAATTGTCTACTAAACATTTCGAGACTAAAGATGACGAAAATCGTTCAATGAAAATCGATGAATGAATTAGGTTTACATGTTTATCCATGAAAAATAACTGCGTGCATTTATATGATAATTCACTTTACATTTTCCGCATCACTTACCACCGTCACCATTTCTTGCATGATATTTAAGTGAGGACTATATCCAAATTTTAAACGAAATGTTAACCCCTTCTGATTTTGTTCAACATATGCCCACCAGTCACTGGCTTCAAGAGGTATTTTCTGCAGTTCTAGTAAAAAGCAGTGACCAGTGGAGTTCAACCTGGTCTGTTGTCAGATAGTAACTCACTGAACACAATGATGGATGTGTAACTCAATTTCGTGGATTGGTTGAAGTTAAACGCTAAAACCGTTGGATACCGGCTCGGTGTTTTAGAGGTTGAGCGTTCGCGTACAAGACCTATAGGTCCTGGGTTCGAATATCGCGATGCGGGATCGCTCATGCGCGCTGTTGAGGAGTCCCACAATAGGATGAAACAACCTTTCAGTATTTCCATGGCGGCCTAGATCCACTTGATTTGTGAACGCAAGTATTAAAGTTTGAAATTAGCCAAAACTGTGAAAGGCTTATAGCTGAAAACTGGTAAAACCAAATATCATTGATCAAGTCCCAAAAAACGAAAATTAAAAGTAAAAGCAGAATAGAACCGGTATTTATTTGCAAAAACGAAACATCTGACAACTGCTAACTACCTTGTTAACATGTTCAATCTTTGTTTGTCTACATAATCAACAACGAAGTAAAGTCCTATGCAGTCGGGGCTTTTTTGACTTATTTTTCAAGGTAGGGTTTTTCGTTTCTCTTTGCTATATTTAAACTCAGCTTAGAACATCATCTTACTTTATTTGGGTCCTTAACACAAACTATTTTTTTACCTCATTCATAAAACTAGCTTATTCTTGACTTTCATAAAGTGAATGAATAAGCAAGGTACTACATGGTTAATTAATTTGAAAGTATCGAGATAGTAGTTTTCTACAACAAATACTTACAAATCTAGTTCCAAGGTCTTTCAAGAGAAATTTATTGAATTTAACTATGAGCATCCTTCTGGGAGACCGATTCTTCAAGAGTTAAACGATGTAAAAGTTATCTCTTATGGGATGCATGTATGATAGGCAGAAAATGAACAACCCTAGCAAACACCACTTGATGCTTAAAAATTTAGTTACTGTTTTCCCATAAGCTTTGACTCGGTCAGGCGGGACGTTTCGCGAAGCTGTTAGAGTCTCTACTCTTCATATTCATGACGTCATGCGATTGTAAGTAATGCTCATCTATATCTTTCAGTGCGACGATAGTTATCCCTGAACCTAGTTATACTTGATATTCAGTTGCAAAAGAAGCTGTAACCAACTTACTGACATCGATTCTTTTAGGTTGATGGATTTGTTGGCCACTGAAACGTAAGGTGAGATTAGCCTAGACAAGGGAATGATCAAAGTTAAGATAGGTAGTCCAAAAGGAACAGCAGTCTTGTCTACAACCACACCAGTGGCAGCTGATCGCAATGTGATCAGTCTACCATGGGGTACCCGGATAAACGCAGGTAAAACAATCTTTTCGAAGCGACAGACAAGGTGAATTTATATTATTTCGCTAGTCCTGAATACGAGTCTCGGATAGACAACAGACATCGATATTAAGACTTTCTAAAGACATAGCCAACCCCCTCTGTTGTCCGATTTGCATTATTGTGTGAACGTCGAAGGCAGCCAGTTTGAAAGGTGCACGTGGTTTCAGAAAGACTGTTACAGTATACGTATTCGGTGGCGGCATTCAACTTCCGACCGGCCAGTAACTTGCGATCGTTTAGATAGAACAGGGTTTGCACCACAGGCGATCTGCTGTATAAGTTGAAAAACAAGAATACACACAGTGAGAATATAATTTATACAGTTGTCTTAGCTAGTGTATCTATATTAACTTAGATATTTATTTTATAGTAATGAAATATCTCAGTGAATGTAAATTGCCTGAATTTTAATTGAAGCAAGAATAATATTTCCAGTGGTAATTGTCATTTGATTTATGTATGGGCTTTGATACTTCCCGAGTGCCCAGACCAAAGTAGGTGATTTTCTTAGGGGCCATACCCGAAGCCTTCGACCTAAAAGTCTGGTCCACAAGGCAGCGGAAAGATGTTAGGAGATGCAGTCCCATGGTAGCTCGTAACCAGCAATCGGTTCATATGCTATTTGTCCCTTCAGGATACTAGAACCCATTTGCACCATTGGTTTGGAATCAGTTTTCCAACTCCCCTAGGTGGACCCTCCGTATCCACCAACCCGATTAAAGCGCCGGACATTCGCTTTTTGTCCTCTCGATTTCGTAAACAACACCCCAGTGGAAAAGGCAGTGAGTAGGACTTTCGTGGGAGCGGCTGTATAGATGTGGCTATATGAGAGCATTTCGAGAGGGGGAGCGAACTCTACCCTCGACCGTACCAGGGTATTTGGGGACATTACAGTATAAGCTCACCTATTAACGATGAATCGGATAGGTTACTTGGGTAAAAATGGTCTATTTTACGGAAACTAAACGAGTTACTCACATCTGTCCTGAAATAAAATTCATAACTTGTACTGTTAAATAACCTTGAGTCATCACTCTTGAGTATCTTTCCTTCTGGCTTAGTCTGTCTGCTAGTTTCGAGTAACTGTAAGCTCCATCTTAAAATTGGGTTCAATACTGACTCCATATATGGGAAGCTAAGATGAAATCTTTAGTAACAAATAGGAAATTGGTAGGAAGCAAAAAGAAAGTGCTTATATTGAATAGGTTCCACTTGAATACTCTTGGAAGTATGGCAGTGATTAATGCTTCCTGACTTCTCCAGATAAAATAATTCGTTTTCTTTGAGAATTTTCTAATAAATCGACGGTCTGGTTCATCTGAAACAGTGTCTACAAAACATGGGTGGTAAATCTATGGAGTCTATTTCTTGACTTATTTACTGTCTTCACCCCGTTGTGTAAGTGTACTTAACGTTGGTTATGACTAAGAATCATTGTACAAAAGTACCCGTTGGGTGTATATTTAGCTCGATAATCTTCTAAAGAATCATTTTAACTCATTGGTGGTAAATTAAGGTAAGGCTCTATCATTTTTATGACTTCAATAATTACAACACAGTGCTAACTTCTGGGAATGTTGTTAATAAAGCCTCAACACACTTGATAAAGGAGAAAACTCATTTTAACCAGACTCGAGTTGTTACTTAGCAACATCATCAATGTGTACAATGCTTTTAACAAAGGGAATCAGTCAGTCAGTCATCTACAACGTAGGACCAGGCACATATATTCATCGTTCCAAGTTGCTACAACTCATTGGCACAATATGAACACCAAATTCATAGAAGCAGTTACTTCAGTGATAGTAGTATGTATGAAATAGGATTGCATATAAGAATATGATACAGAGAAAAAATTAGTTCGTAGAAAGAAAGGTGTAAAGTAATTTTAATCTCACAGTTTAAAGGAAGACAAAGTGTATACACGTACACCATTGTGGTTGATTCTGAGCCATGTCAAGGAAATAGTGACACTGTATCACTTGAATTCAGCGTTATTTTCAGTATAGCTCTGTTTTGTCACCTACTTAAACGTATACATTTAATATGAAGTTTTACCGTTTCATTTTGTATTATATTTGTTTGGATTTTAAAAGTTTAATTTCAATATCTACTCAGTTTAAAATATATTGACAAGTGTTTATTATCCCAAGTTTATTGAGTTCTTTAAAAGGTTTTCAACTAAGTCAGCTTAATGTCTTTTATTTCCTTAGTGCATTTCAATGAGTTGGCATCAGCCTGGTCTTGATGTTAGTGCGGCTCCTTTACATCAACTTACACCTCATGGTCTATTATCAAATGAATATCTTTCTGGGTTTGATCAGAGTTCTGGTGGTATGGATTCGGAAAACGCACTCTTGACGGAGCAGCGTGCACAGTTGACAGGAAGAGAACTTCAACAACTTCTTAGTGTTGCTCACCAAAGTTTAGATGAAGCTCAGGAAAGGTATCTAAGCTCATCTCAAAAGTCATTTTTTAACTCTTAGTTATAATGTTGCAACAGCTTCACTCATAGGATCACTCACTTTGAGTTACTACGAAAAAATTCCTCACGTTCAGTAATACTTTATATCTACTGTAGTTTAATATTTTTTCGTGCTACTATGATATTATGTAAAACACAACGGAACTTTTGGTGCTCTAATTTGACGTCACCGCCTTATCGATGTTCATCACTTTACCTACATACATCTCTCCGGACTGTAGAATAACTTACATTGTTTTTACTCCAATCAGTTAGTCTATACTTAATAACATTGTAAAGTTCAATTGTCAGCGACTTTATGGACTGATGGTATGTTTTGGTTTGGTCCTCCCTAGCTTTCTTCCAGCCCACTCTTACACTAGCAAACATCTCCCACTAATGTAGGTGGTGGTTTGGCACACATAACACATGCCCCAACCACCTCAGTTGATGAAGGTTTACTACCTCACCAATCTGTATCCCATCTTTACCTAGTACTCTATTCCTAACCCAGGGATCACTTACTCCGTTTCCCCAAAACACACTAGCAATTCTTCGTAGACACATATGATCAAATACCAGTAACCTACAAAAATCCTCTATTCCGTATTGCCTTTTTCCACACCCATAACGTGGGTCAGAGAGAATTACTATGCAGTAAACTCGTCCTTTGGTTGGAAGACGGATATCTCACCTACACCACAAGTGGCGCAATTTTGCAAAAGCCAATGGGGGACTTTGAATCTGTGCCAGGATTTCGTCAGACACCAGCCCGTCGGGACTTATAAGACTTCCAAAACAAGTGAAGTAATCGACTCACTCAACTACTCCATTCCCTATCATTAATTCAGGTGGTAAAGCAAGTCAGTCCTGAAGTAATATTTTACATTCGAAGTGAGAGAACCGCATTCCAAACATGCTTGCATTGTTGCTTGAGTTAGTCAGAATACTTTGTATTTTGTCAGCTTCATAATAAAAAGGAGTAATGTATTCACGAAGTAGTTATGTTCAAACCAAACTAAGTGGCGTTGTAACTTTTGCCCGGTAATTATTACGTGATATGACTGCTAATCAGAACACGACTTATACAATCTTAGCACCGTGCCAAATCAATGACGCGTTTATCGGTACGAGGAGCCTAGAGTCCTTATTGGTCTTCTCATCTAGCCCTGCCTGTTCAGTCCAGAACACCAATTTCAGCCTCAATTTTATGAATCATATATTTCAGAAATACTTGGTTTATGTACAAGCAAACCAGACCACATCATACCATAAAATGAAAAATAACAGTCATACGAGAAAATCAAGCCAAAAAAGTGGCCGTGATTGTGAAAGACTGTAATTAATAAATTGGAGATAACTTAAGAATAGTAGATCATATAGTAGTATTCGATAGGTTAAATGGAAGCTTATAATAAAAGGAATATGAATAGACATCTAATATTAGTCCATAAATAATCCCTAGACGTTGCCATTCATTTATTCTTCGTTAGGATATAACAAGTGGATTGAATGATTCTTTAACAGCTTATTTATTTATTTCAACACACAGATAATAGTACAAAGAGGCACCAAATACATATGCGCCACACAAATCCCATTCGATATGTGTGAGGGCTGTGATACTGCCCGGGTGCCCAAACCGAAGCAGGTGGTTTTCTTAGGGGGCCATTCCCCGAGCCTTCGACCTGAAGGTCCGATCCACAAGGCAGTGGAGCATCGTAAGGGGATGCAGTCCCATGGAAGCCGGTGACCAACAATTGGTTCATACGCCATTTGTTCCCGCAGGATACTGGAGCCCATGTGCACCATTGGTTTGGAATCCGGTTAAAGCGCCGGACATTCGCTTTTCGTCCTCTCATTTTCGTAAACAATACCCCCGCCACGAGAAGGCAGTGAGTAGGACTTCCCTGGCAGAGGCTATATACGCGTGGCCATGTGAGAGCATTTCGAGAGGGAGAGTGGACTCTCCCCACTCTCGGCCGTACCAGGGCATTTGGGGGCCTTAAATCGTTGGAATACTGTTTCATGTTTTAATTAAACGTTATTTCCGAAGCAAATGCTCTCTACATTTATCTAAAGTTGGTAGTGAAACTCCTTGATAAGTACAGTTTCGTGCAATGCTCGTAAGGCTACTAAATCAATGTGATAACCATGTTTACTCCCTACCTAGCAGAATTCTTTGTATCTGTTAGCAATATAATGTACATTATATTGTTGTATAATTAGTACACACATAACTTTTTATTTAGTAGGTGAAATCATTTCTCAACATCGGTTATGCTTCTTTGAATACGTTTTTTTAATTTTAAGTGTGTCTATGCTAATCAGTACTAGATGACATTACAACTCTCTGGAACTAGCATTAGAATAATCGGGTTATTGTGCTGAGTCACAATAAAGGTAACTTTCTTTAAATGCGTCGGCGCAATAAAGCATATGTTCCTTAAATGAAGTTGTTCAAATTAGAGCGTTGTTTTGTTCTGTCTTCTACACGAATAGCAAAATAATATAAAACTTAATAGCGACCAATTTAAGCCTTTATGTAATTATTTAGTTCATTTGTAACTCCAGATTTTACTCACTTGCAAATATATATTTTCTTAATGTTATTCTTTGTTTTTGACACAGTTCTCTCGTCATCCCATTTATAATATTCATTGGTTGTTTGTATTTGTCATCTTTGTTTTGTTGATTTATAGAAAACAGTCATTAAATAGTCATAGATTAAAGCCTGCTCTATACAGTGTGTTCTGTGAAATCAAGGAGAAAACAGGTAAGTTTGTACATAGTTATTATTATGTAGTTGCAGAATATTTTTTCACATTTATAACGAAATTTCGTGTATTTAAAACTGTTAGTCCTTATGAGGAAGTTCGATAATATGCTGCGATGACGTTTATCAAAACTATGTATACGGCTCTAGTATAGTAAATAGTACTTGTGGCCTTGTGCCCTAATGATACCGCCAATTAGAGAACAGTGACTTATCGACCGGACCAATGACGCATAAACCCATACGAGCAGTCTAGAGTCCTTGTCGGTCCCTCTTTCTGCCTGTTGCATCCAGAACACCAATCTCAGCCTCTGCAATATAAACTATATATTTCAAACATACTAGGTTTGTATACAAACCAAACAGATCACATCGTACCATAAAATAGAAAATAACCTCTGTACAAGATCTAGCCAAAAGTGGCTGTGAATGTGGGAGACTGTAATTAATAGACTAGGCATAACTCAAGAATCGTATAATGATAGTCTATTGGTCAAAATAAGGCTTTTAATAAGAGGAATATGAATATGCATAGTTTAGTTGCTTAATAATTATACAACAAAAATATATGTATCGTATTGGTCCATAAATAGTTCTCTAGAGTTACCATTCATAATTCTCGACGGGATATAACAGTACTGATAAAATCCGGAAGTGGAAAGTGCGAATAAATTATCGGGTAAACACACTCAAGTTCAGAATCGAGTTGGTATGTAGCATTAATCATTAGTTGAATACCAAGCACTTTTAAAATAAAGAATATTATGCATATTTAGTCAGTTGACCACTGGTCATCGAGTATTGATAAACTATACAAATCAAACAGGAAGTCATGTTATACGATATACCAGCATTGTATTTTAAATGACCAATTAATTAAACATCATTTCTTAAATTTGCACTATTCTGTCACTTTAGGAAAATACTATCCTCATCAGATATAGAATTAAAACGAACTAAGTTAAATCTTTTTTGAACAGAATCTCTTAATATGTTGCTTTACCTAGTAGACAAAAGTAGCAGCTTATAGTTTTAATGTCACAATCTTTTTGTATTGTTTACTTCTCGCAATGATGTCTAGCTCTAAGTTTGAGAAACTCAGCTGTTTCTGCTGTAGAAGATGAAGCTAATTCACCAGATCCTCAGCTTTTACGCTTGGATAAAATGTTAGTTGCTGAAGGTGTAACAGGACCTGGCGGTAATCTGAATAATGATCTAAGTGACGGTCCTGGAGACTTGGGTGGGGGACCCGGTGATTGTAATCAAATTGAACATGCTGATTATCGCGCTAAATTGTCTCAGATTCGCCAGATATATCATGCAGAATTGGAGAAATATAAAAATGTAAGTTTTTTCAGTACTGCATCTTTATAAGATTATCAATTGCATTCTAATTTATCCTGCGTAAACTAATGATCAGCCAAAAATAATTTTGTTTAGTATATAAGGTTTCCCTCACATTTGTTCTGTTTTCTGATAAATAGTCGTATTAAACATAAGTGAAGCTTTTTCTGATGTGTCACTAAGTACTGACCGTAGGCACTATCGATTTTCCCCTGAACTATTCTCAACGTGGTTCTTCTGGTCAGCAAACCATACATATAAAAAAGGACTAGAAAAATACAATAATTAAAGAGCTCATCTTAGACCTAGACATAAGATTCTACTTTAACACTCCACTCCGTTTAATTAGATAAGTGTAAATATGTCTTACTTTCTGTACAAACCTGATAAGCTGTTGCCCTACTTCGCAACAGTCAAGCGTAAGCATGTAAAATCAACTTGGTAGTGATCGATCCTTATAAAAGATCGTAGTTGTCTGTTTATGTTGTGACACCAAGTACATGTTAAATATCATTAAACACCCTACAATTATTATTCTCACTCTAAGTTGTAAATCTCCAAAAAATTCCCATCATATCAAATCTCTATTATCTGACATTGAAATCTGTTAGTTTTGAACATAAAATAATATCAAAAGGTCAGATAGTAATGTTGATATCATACTAAATTTATCCAGTTTTAAGATTTAAAAAACCTTATTTTGGATCACACTTTGTACTGGACCCAAACTATTATACATTATGTCCCTATTCAATAACTACTCTAATGGTCCTTCCAGTGTTTTATTGATTGTGTTCATTCTAACCAGTGTTCATCTTGACTAAAGGCAATGGTAAATAACTTAAAGTAGCTCATATTTCTCCAGGTGAAATGAAATTATATACTTTTTTCATGCCTTTCTCTAGCCTACACGAGTCTATATCCTAATTAGCAGATAAGTCGTCAAATAGTTATACTTCAATTTCAACTAGGCTTTCAAAGATATGATTGATATTTGTTCGTAATTTGTATAGACAGGGCCATGCCAATTTATCTAGGTGTTTGTGTAATTTGCACTTATTAGGTATTTCCTGGTAATACTAAATCCACTCTGTAGTTTAAGTCGTTCTCTGTTGGTTAGTAAAGGTTGGTGATTTTTGTTCCTAAAATTGGATCCGATCTCTTTAGAAGGCTTATGGGCTCTAAAAAGTTTGAAGGTCTTGTGTATAAACAACTCTAATGTCACTGGTATGGAACAAAACAGCTGCTTAGTGCACCTCATTTTTGTTTGTTGCGCAACTAGCGTAGAATTTTAATGAAAGGAACTTCCAAATTATCTTGTCTAGCGAAACAACAATAACTTGGTGAATTGTTTCCATATTCTTATTTTGAGATGAAATGACCTATACTTAGTATGAACTCAATTTTTCTACTTTGAGTCATGCTGCTTTATTCATTTATCACTTTGGATTGAATATGATTTACAATAAAAACAGTTATTCAAAAACTTAGACAATAGAGACACAACTCATTCTCCCTAACAATTTTATAATGTATTCTGCTTTGCATAAAACTTTTGTTTAGTCTTTTCTATTTTATTGTTATCTTTGCTGTTAGGCGTGTGATGAATTCACAGGACATGTTATAAATTTATTGCGTGAACAGAGTCGTAGTCGACCTATAAGCCCAGCAGAAATTGAACTTATGGTTGGTATAATTCGGAGGAAGTTTCGAGCAATTGAAACACAGCTGAAACAAAGTACTTGTGAAGCAGTTATGATATTGCGATCTCGATTTTTGGACGCTAGGTAAGTTCACGGATGAATAATAGGATCTGATATGTTTTTAATGAATGTTAAAAAATTAATTTTGGGCGTTCATAACTTTTATTATTTCGATTAAAAATCCTGGTAGGTGGCTTATGCTTCACGAGGGTGTAACAGGCGTACGTAAGTGTTCTTAGATGCGCTTCATAATTCCTTTTAAATAAACGTTTATTGTACTAGAAACTTAAAATACTAGGCATCAATAGTTAAACTTTTGGGCTAGTGCAATGAAAAGATGGGACTCATTAGATTGTATGAATTAAAATAGTGAGTGGTTTGTTTAGAAATTCATGATTTTTTGGTATCTTTATTTATTAGTTCAGTTAGTCTTAGCATCTGGTTTCGTCATAAAGTAATTTTGATTGATTTTCCGCTCTTCAGAGGAATTAGTTTCCAATAGTTGGTTTTCAAATTAGACCGCTTCTTTCCGTTTCCTTGTGTCAGGATCGATAGTATAGTGACTAAGATACTTGACTTTCAATTATTTGGTTACTTATTCGAATCCTTCACCGTCTACTTCGGCTTCTACAACCGGTTAGCGTCAATAAACGTTCATACAAATATTTTAGCTCAAAGCCAGGTACATAACACACGTGTTTGGTAAGTTATAAGAAAATTTTTAAAAAACTTGGGTGGCTTACCGTTGTTAGGGTATTTCACTTATTATCCCAATCAAAACTACCCAACAATTTTGAGTGATTTACCTTGTTCACTCTATTGTAAAGAAAGGATGAACAGTTCATATTACTTTGATATGGTTAGTAAATTGTAGGAATTTAGATAGTGTATATGCGCCTGTCAAATCCTGGAGGGGTCACTAAAACTTTCTGAATATCAAATATAAAACTGTTTCGTAGACTAATTTATTATGAAAGATAGTTTAAAGGTATCAAAGCAGTATCAATAAATCACTGGTGTTTCTCACTCTTGTGTTTTGAAATATACCAAATTTCGTTTAAGAATCTATCGTATCGAGAACATTCATCGCTCGGTGGTTCACTGAAGCTTTGAGACCAAAACATTTTAAACATGTACTGTAATTTTAATCAGCATTCAATCATGCTCCAGAAACAACATAGAAATCTTCCATTTCAACTAAACAACTGCTTGTTTCAGCCGTATATTTTCTTTGTTGTTTGATCAATGACTATATTACAGTGATGTGGCTACAAAACTCATTATTCTGTTGAATATCCTTTCCTTTTAGACGCAAACGTCGAAATTTCAGTAAAGAAGCTACTGAAGTACTAAATGAATATTTCTACTCTCATTTGGCTAATCCATATCCTTCAGAAGAAGCGAAAGAAGAATTAGCCAAAAAATGTGGGATAACTGTTTCACAAGTCAGTTTTCTGAAAATAATTCGCACATTTAATTTTTACAGTTTTCATTTTAATATAATATTTTGGTAGACATAAAATCGTATATATATATGTGTATGTCATTGATGTTTGTATTCTGTTTTCACTGAAGTTCAGATTGTCTCAGGCATATAAAAGTGATATTTAACAAATTATGAAGTGATGAATATTCCACTTCTTTGGCAATAACTATAATGAAACTACCATTTAAGTTCAGTAACATAACATATTCTAATGGGGACATGTTTCATAATTACCTTCTTAATGCCATAAATTATCCTTGTTCATTATTTGAGAAATGAATTGCTACGTGATGTTTATGTGTAAATGACTCAGGATTCAAAGTCTGAAGATAATATTTTTTGAAACTTAATGAATTTATAACATTTTTGCTAATCAGTGTTGATGACGTTCACATTTGTTACAATTATAATGTTTCAATCTACTTGATTATCACCAAATTGATAAAAACCAACTGCTTACATTCTTCATGACTCGAATTTTCGTATTGCCATATCCATTCATTTAGTCTTAATTCTTATCGGTAATACTTAAAATGTCAGGTGACATGATAGCTTTTATAAAGTCATTCCTACATATCCCAAATCTGTTCTGAAATAACAATATTAAGAAAAACTTGTATTTCATACTTTTGAACTATGGTTTGGTGGTTGAAAAAGCAAGTGACTTTCACCCAATAGGTCTCAGATTCGAACCCCGTTCAACCCATTTCGGTTTAGACAGCTATGTAGTATCACTAATCTCCATACAGACAGTTTATTTCAAAGCCAAGCACATTAACCTATACATCTTAAATAATTTACTATATAATACATCTACACTTCAAACACTATTCACATTTTTCGTTAGACTTCATCTTTCAAGGTAGAAAGTGAAGTCAGTTGCCGTTGTATTTAACTAACGTGTATTGTCTGGTTCTGTTATCAGTACTAACCTGTGACTTTGATCTCTAAAACAAGTGTGTACATTTTGCTTGGGACATGCACACTTCAAATGTTTAGATGTGGTTCCAAAGATCGATTAACCGATTAGCCACCAGGGTGTTTTTTTAATGACTGTATCGAGTGTCAGTCGATAGAATGGGAAAGTGAACATTGACTCTCGTTCAATAGTTAAACCTTATCATTAAGTGTACCATTTTTCTTGCACTTTGCTCAGCTAGTTAGACCTGCTATTTTCATTGATTGAGATTAAGTTGTATATGTGTAAGAACTACGGATTGTTGCCCTCTTCCTCCTTTTTTATGGGGCAGTTGTAGTCAAAAGTGTTCGTAATCATGTTCTTCATACTTATAAATTCACTTGTCTAAATGATCATAACTATAAATTCGATTCAGTTATTGGCTCGCATTTTCATTGTTATCACCTTTTCGCTTAATCTGACTAGTCGGTAAATAATGGTTATGTTAAGGTATGATAATTTTTGCATTTTTCAAATCAATTCGTTAATTACATCTTGGTACTTAATCATTGTCAATTCTAAAAAATGAATTTGAACAAGTTATTTAAAATTCTGATCTATTTGTTAAAGTTGTATTCCCACAAAGTTACACTGGTGTAGGTTAACCTATAACTCTTCCTTCTATTTATATTATTAGTAACATCATTAGAACTCTGAAATTATCAATTGTTAGTCCAATTTGCTTTTGCTGTTCCGAGTTGATTAATATGATATGTCGTACTTGAATTTCCCCATTTTAATCGTCATTTTGATGATAATTATAACAAAAGCTGATCTAGTGTAAAAATCCGTTTGCTAAAATAACACTTATGAATCCAATTAATCATTGGACCGTTTTTCATTCCACAGGTCTCTAATTGGTTTGGAAACAAACGTATTCGGTACAAGAAGAACATTGTAAAGGCTCAAGAGGAAGCAAATATGTATGCTGCGGCAACAGCCGCGGCAGCAGCTGCTGCTGGATCTGTGGCATCTGGAACTGGTGGTCCAACATCATCTGATGAAGTTAGCACTTATTTTTAGTATTTTTGTAATAATTCGTTGCATTCAATTGTTACTTTCCTATTTAAAAATTTCGAATAAATCTTTATGGGATTTTTACTTCGAAGCTATGTGCTACATATAATGCTTCCAAAGTTAAGGGACATTCAAAGTAGCTATATACCTTATCCCACTGTTTTAGTCAGTGAGTGAACTGATGGTTCAAGTTAGGAAGTCATTGTTTCGAAAGTTATGGAACTGAAATGATAACAAGGTTTTTGGGTTATTTATAAATTCTTCAAGTCCGGTGTCATTTTTTAACTGGAAAACATTACTTAGAGGAACTCGTCCATATGGGGGCACATTAGTTTTCTTGTGAATCATCTATATCACCGTCAATAGTTTTTACATGAAACCTTGGAGTTCTATCTGTATGTACATTAATTGATGAGCGCAGTGGTACAAATGGACCGTGATTTTGACGATCGCATTCACGTCTGGGCAAACGAATGTATGCCAAAAGGTGGCCATCATTTCATTAGTCATTAAATTTGCCTGGTTATGAATTACAAAGGTACTCCAGGAGATATAGTCCTTATTTCCCCACATGGCCAACAAAGTCAGTCAGTCAGTCAGTAACAACGTAGAACTTCGTACGTACGTACATCAGTTCGAGTTGCCACACCACATAAGCACAGAGATGCAGTTGTCGATTCAAATCCCGTAGTGCTAGAGGTAATAAGTGTATGAGCAGTAATCGGGAAGATTAGGGTTTGGAGATGTTATTCAAGGAGTATAATCCAGTGAAATAAATTTGGAAAGAGGAAAATTTATTTCACTGGCCAACAAAATGTCCGTAAGAACTAGTGTACGTCTCTTTTTTCATTGATACGGTATGATTCCTCTTTCATAGTCACACAATGGACTCTTTCTCATCCAATACCTCTTTAAATTACTCATTAGGCATTTGGATGCTTCATGGTGTTTTACACGAAAACCTAGACATGACTGTTTCGAACCTAGAATAATTTGTTCGTATAACATACTGTTGATTTCAAAGCATTTTGCATGAAGATATGAGTGTGTGTTTAGTTGTTAATAATACGTCTTCTAATATCTTAAGTGTAGGTCAGATTTTCTAATCATAAGCAACCTGAATGTTGTAGCTTCTCAATTTTGAAATTAATGTTTATATATTGCGTTAAACAAATGAGTTGGACGTTTTAAACCCAATTATTCACTTAGCATTAGTTAGATCTTAATTTCTTTTTTACATGGTGACTTATATCTTATTCATGTCTCATTACTTTTGTTTTTCTCTTTATTAGCATTCTGTTGGATATGGTCATCCGGGCTATGAATACGATGATTCTATGAGCCTTCAAAGACCTGTCCCTCAAATGTCCTGTCCACCTGATCATGACACTTGGATGGGTGGGGGAGGAGCTGGAGTTCTCGGACCGGGTAGTTTAGATGAACCCGACTGCAAACGCAGTAAACTTTGAGTACATCTATGCGTATGCGACAAGCTGTTCAAATAACTTCATTCACTACATTTTACAGCTGATGAATTCGCCTTGAAGTAACTTATTTGATAAGCATATATATATATGCATTCTCTTCATCTGTTGGTTTATGTTCCATATTTCGTTAGTCCTGTATTCCTTTAAAACATGTGTTTTGTAGAGGAAATAATACCGGGTTTACGCAGTAATCCCACGCAATATATACAAGCGACTATGTGTATTGTTATAGGCTGAATTGTCTCGGCTTTTTCTTGCCTTTTGTTCTATTCTTTTTTTCCCGTATTTTATTCTTTAGTATATTTATTTATTAATGTTCGTAAGTTCTCAATGGTTAAGGCCTGTATCGTTTTCGTGGTCCTGTCTTTATAATACAAATATCATGTTAATTGTATTCCCTTTTTCTCTATGATGATCAAAATGAATTCGATTTTTTTGGACATTTCACTTGAAACATTAAAGCCCTAATAATACTATCTTAATTGATGTTGTCTCTGTTGTCGTTTTTTAGTCACCTATCTTTTACTCTCTGGAGGTAATGTGAAAGTGCATCAACTTCCCATTTATACTTTCGTATTACGTATCTTTTGTGTCTTGTGTTTTTATTCTCTTATGGTTTAAACGGTTAATTTCTTGTCTTGAGAATTTCGCTTCACTTATTTGCTAACTATTCTCTCCTATTCACTTACATTCTTTTATACTACATTTTTTCATTCTGTAAGATGTGGGTGTGTATCTTTTAGGACTTTATCGTAAGACGATTTTTTCTCTTTCAATTTATTTCATTTCAATAAAACAAATTGTATTACTTTCTCAGTATTGTTAATATTCTAAATAGTGGTGATTCACTAACTAAATGTTCAGCTCTAAGTTTGAACTCCGCTCATCTACTACGGTTTATATGTCCAATTAATTTTAATCGCCTTCACAAACAGTTTATCATAAAAGGCACGTATTGAAACTCATAAGCGAATCACATCATAATCTTAATTAACAGTTAAGATGTATAAAATAATTAAAATTTCATCGACAATTGATATAAATTGTCCAGCAACTGTATGCTTCATTTTATTGTAAAAACAAAGTCGTTTTAAGCACTGTGAAAACTTTATTTTCAGATCGCTGAGTTTCTGTGGTGTTTGACGTCTTGATACGTGGTTCTGTGTGACTTTTATTCCAGTTTGATGAGTACAATCCCGTTATTGCTGTATATTTTCCCAGCCTCAATAGCCATTACCACTAGGGATTTTACTCAAGCCAATTATTTGTTAATTTCCTCCATATTCTTACTTCATAACAGTGATGTTAATGTTATCATACAAGAAATACATTACAATAAGGAAATATCATATCTACTTAGTGCAAGAACAAATATGAAAAATCATTACTTTTATTATTTATTTAATTTCATCTATACTAATGATGGGGGTTTGCACAAGCGTAGACTTTCAGTTTAGCCTTCTGTGTAATTGTCAGTAAACGAGTTGTAGCAACAACGAAGAAAGAAACAACTTAATTGTGGAGACAGTTTAACAATTGATATAGAGTAAACTGTTTAAATATCAGCAATGGTTGTTGAACCAGTAACTAGATTTAAGTTAGTTTTACTGAACAATTAGTATCTGACTGAGCTGGGAATATTAACAAAACAAAACAGCTTGCTGAGTGGTAGGCCACTAGGATCTTATTATCAATGAGATTCAGAAATCTTATTTATGTGTCAGGAAAGTGATGCAGGCTTTATCAAACTCAAGAGTTGTTAAACTAATGTGGATTGTGTCGCGATCTTAAGTAGCTCCGACAGAGCATCTATAGTGCGCAATTAGTTGGTCAGAAAGATCTTTTTGAATGTCTTGTTTTCCAAACACAGAAGTATTTAGTGGAATGAAAGGAATCGGAGAAATAAGATGTTTTATTTCCATAAACAGAGTAATGTGACTAAATGTATTTAAAACATTTTTGCAAATTAAAACTGATTCTATTTTATATCTCATTATTGAAAACAGTAAGCACTTCTGAAATTACTTTTTAAATTGTCCATCAACAGGATCGCGTTATCTACAGGTTACATGGATGATGTATAATAACGGTAGTTAGCCATTTATTTCAGCTCAGCTATATAACTGGGACAATCTTAATTAATTGGGTTGAATACCAATATGTATCTATCCTGGCTTCATGATATTTCTCATTCATTATTACACTGGCTTCTCGTGTCTTTTCACCATTTCTCAGATTCTTTATGTCTGGCTTTTATCACGTGATTTATCCACCAATCAAAATACGACTTATATAATCTTCGCACTGTGCCAAACCAATGACGTTCGACCGGTATGGGCAGTCTAGTGTCCTTATTGGCCCTATGTCCGCCTAGCCCGTCCACGTGAGTCCAGAACACCAATACCAGCTTCCAATATGCGAATCGAATCATTTATTTCGGACATACTGGATTTATATATCAATCAAACAGATCGCAACGCACCATAAAATAGGAAATAACATTTGTACACAATAAAGCCAAAAAGTGGCTATGAACGTGGGAGGCAGTAGTCAATAAACTGAACATAGCTTATGAACCGTAAGTCGTACAATAATAAATTATAGGTCAAAATAAAGCTTATAATAAGAGGAATATAAATATACATAATCTAATTATTGAATAGTTATACCATAAGAATGTATAGATAATATTAGTCAATTAAGATGTCTCAGAAGTTACTCGTACTTTAATCTTCACTAAGATATAACACTTTACCTAACAATTACGTTTTATTTCTACTACTCAATCATTCTTGGAATTCTGTTTCTCATGTGATGACAGTTATTGAATTTATTCAGCATTCTCTTACAACTTGGTCGGTCGATATCTATAAAATTGTTTTTATACCATACCAATTTATTCATACAATTGTACTATATTTTCTGGTGGTATGTGGTTAGTTAGTTCTTCATTTTAGTCACTAAGGGGATTTCTATTACTTGGTGGTTTATGGTGAAGGAATATTTTCTTTTCAATACTGTTAGCATTTCACTGAAAGGACCTTTTGATCACTGAGAGATTCTCATCGTATTAAAACACAATTATATGGATGAAGAATAATTTTTCATCAGGTTCTAAAATTATAAATTCAAGTTAATAACCCATAAAATTTATCCACGCATCTTACCATTGTCATTATTATCATTACACTTGCTAACCTTTTTGAGAAATTGATTCAGCATCCACCCCTATCTACTATATCTAACGTAATTCATATTATTCAATGTATTACTTAATTTCTGATTTGTAATTACATTATTCTCTCTCTAACTACATGTTAACCATATTTTTTCTGATCATTTATCTCACAATTTCATTTCACTTATAAACTGATTCAAGTCAACATTTCATATTAGTCATCCAAACAATAACGATTTGATTTGATTTCATATTACAAATAGCAATCTTTGATTCACTTGTTACAATTTTAAATGGTGTACCCTGCCTTAAATCTGGCCAATTTTATGGATTATTAGTTTGGATTGTAGAAGCTGATGAGAAATTATTGAAAAGAATATATTTCGTTCATATAATTATGTTGTGAAATGACCTTTGTGTTATCTTCAACATCACATGTATCTAAAAATATTCTAATAATTTCTCTTGGTAGTCAGTGTCACCAATACCTGTGCGATTTGTTTTCTTAATTCAGTTATATAAATCATTTAGTTGTAATAAACACTTACCATCTGCATTATATGCATATGTTTGTTGATTATTTCACATTATGTTAATTAAAATCAATTTTATAAGTGATTGCGTGAATAAAAGACGACTTTCTTTGTTGTTTAGCAAGATATAAAAAACGTAATTATGAACAGTTGCAATTGGTTAGTGCCTTTCCTATTCCTCAGTTAATATATTCTTTCTCGATATTACATTTATTACGAGTACTATTTATGAGTTTGACTTCCATCCAGTTACATTATTCTTTTTTTTTAAAATCAAACGTATTGTTTCTATATATGATCTTACAGTATATGAATCTTACTTTTGATTAATTATATAGGGTTGTCGGAAATATTTTACTTGGGTAACGTTGAGTAAAGTTACTAGTCACGTGGCTGACTTGAGTTTAAATAATATTGAATATGTATCAAGAGGAATGGTCCACTGAGATAGACATACAAAGAGATAAGTATTTAATCCCAGTTAGCGTATAAGTCGAGTTGGAAACATTTTTATCTCAAAAGACTGATCATCGCATAGTGAGTTGCTTTTTGTCAAATTTCGTCAGGGTTGCCAATGACTGACGCATACCGGCAAACTAGCGAAAATCTTCCAACAATATGGTCAATAAGTAATTTCGGGCTTCTTGGACATATTTGATGTGTTAAATCTTTTTTGGAGTCAATATTTGACAGCTCTGGGTTAGGTATTTGCTGTTTTACGACCGTTTATTAAATCTATACACTTTCAGCACATCTTTTACCACAATTAGTGGTTGTCCTTGCTAATATTTGTATTCTGTCTGCGAGAATGATGAGTCAACTTTCATCTTGTTATTCACGTCGACTGAATAAGAAACTACGAAAACAGTGCTAATTAAGTTTCCACGGTTGATTTGTTAATATTTAGTGGGATTAAGCCGCCTAGGGGCTAAGCAGTGCATGAACTAATTGTCTATAGATTATACGGCTGTCTAGTTTTGCTGTAAATTATCGTTCAAAATTAGATAGTTTATTTGTATATAATTTGTGGTAAATGACAAATGTATAAATTATGATCGAATATTCCATGTTTTGTTTAAATCTGTTGTAACAATACAATTACATACTTTCCGCTTGAAGTTTGAGTTCTTGCTTGCGTCTTGTCGAAGTTCTAGATTTATTTCGTTGGGCTATTACAAATTAACATTAATCGAAGAAGTCCTGATAGTTATTGGTAACCTCATGTCAGTTACTTAAAAAGTCAAGTGAATGTTAACTATAATGAAGGCTAACAACTTATTCTTTCCGTCTTAAACAAAAAGCCTCATACTTATGCGACTTAGAGTTGTCATATATTCCCTATATTTTTGGAAAATGCTAAAAAATAACCAATGATTGTTATTCCACTACCAAATTCACTTGAAAGTAGTGCTCCTCACTGACAGCAGATAAAAATATTGTTTAGGTATTTCTTACGAAGTAATTTCTCACAATGTTTCCAATTTTTCGGTGAAACATCTTTTATAATGCACCAACAATCTCAGTTGAACCTGCTGAGCTGCGATAAGTGAAACGTACGCAAAAAAAATATTTTTATGAATTGCTGCTTCGTTTACAAGATTAGACGTCCTTAATCACCATTTATGTCATGAATTGTAGCAATAATTTTCGTTAATAAATTGTTATCTACAGATGAATCATTGCTCTAAATGTGATCGAATATCATGTAAATCTGTTTCCCGTTGTAAAATAACGCGAACGTCAGAGATTTGTAGACGGAAAGTAAAGTACATTCTTTAAACGAAGAAGTGAACATTAAGACAGGTTTTATCAATGACCGAACTTCGTAAACGATGTCGTTTTCATTGTAAGTATGCTAGCCTTAGTGTCTCCAGTGAGTGATTTTTCAATTATTTAACTCTGATCTAGAGGTTGGAGGGTTATGGTGTAAGCTGAGATTCTCCGACAGCTACGATACCGGTCTCTTATTGTATGATCAAGGCAATAATTATCACGTTTGCACAGAATGTTGTGAAACCTGTAAAACATGGCTAAGGAAATTCGGAGATACAACCTGGCGGTGCTTGAAGAAAGTAAAACCTATTGGGCACATGATGATCAGCTTTGTTAGAAGGATTGTTGTTATGTGTTCGTAATGAAGAACAAACCTCGCATATACGAAGAGTTGGGCTGAAACTCCTAACAGAGACACGAAAAGTACTTATAGGATAGGAATGTATGGCCAGTGAAATTTCTGGGCACTGGCCACATCATTAAGCATTCGGGTCACTGAAATTAGGATGATTTACGATCCCCGTCAAGGTCATGTGCAATTAATGCGTAATGGTTGATCGTACGCCATGAACGTGCCCATGTGGCAGTGGAGGTGTTCGTTCTCATGTACCCTCTCCTACTAACATACTTCTGTTATAACTTCGATTATGTTGTACGGTCATCAGAGTAGCCGTAGTACCTGGGTTCGGTGGAAGAGTAATCGACACTAGATACCTAACAATAATTTTGACTTCGACATAAGCAGGTTGGTCATGCCATTTCTGTCCAACAGGAGTAGCCCGCAATCGCCGACACATGTTGGTGATCTACAGGAATCTAATAGGTCCAGGATCATCATATCCTCCTTCGAAATAAAGTACGAGGGTGCTAGAATACATGTCATGTTGCAATGTGTAGCCACCAATGGCGGTGGCGGAAAGTATCAAAATAAGTTTTATGAGAAATACCTTGAGGAAGGTCCAATGATCCTGATAGGGGATTTAGGCGGCAAGGTTAGGAAAGACAACAACGGTTGTAGAAACATCATGGAGGGGAAAAAAAGCTTAAAGTCCTATTTATTTTCAACTTTCACGGTTTCTGCGAATTTGTTATACGTGGCGCAATATTTCCACAAAAACGCACTTATGAGATTTTCTCTGGACCTCACTAGAGAAAACGTTTGCATCAAAAATAAGTTCATAACGTTCATAGAAGATGTGAGAATAGAGAGTGGAACTGACATCGCTTCACATGAACACCTGATAATGGTCAGGGTGAAATAGATTTTTAAAAACACTGGACATAACAGGATTTCAACAAAGCCATTCTTTGAAATACTGGCAACCTGAAGAATTTCAAGATAGCTCGCAAAAATGCATTTCAAGACTTACAAGATCTATGAAACGATGAGGAAAATAGGTCAGAGCATAACTAGAAAGGTACCAAAGAAGCAATAACTTCAACATGTCATTGGAAGTGGACCGCAAGAAGCACCAGCTTGACGAATCAATTTATGTTAAAACGTTGGTCAAGATTCGAGAAAGGAAGACGGTAATCAACAACTATCAAACGAAACTAAATGAAGTAAAGATCTAGACTGAATACACAGAGGAAAACAAGCCATTGACGAAGAGCATTCAAGCTGACAATCAGAAATACGTTGAGGATCTAGCTATGATAGCTGAAATAGATCCGAGGGCAAGAAATATGAGAGTGGTGTGCGCTACGTATGTGGGCAGACTTAAGATGTATGTGGCAGGAGTTGTAAGTGGAATGAAGACCTGTAGAATACTGAAATTATCAGAGGATTAAGATATACAGAGAAATATCGGATAACAATATGATTAGAAAGGTGTTGGAGTATGTAAAGAACGACTCATTGACGGTGTGCGAAAGATGTATTAAATGTGCAATTTTCACACGCCGAAGCCCTTCATGCAAAAAGGTAGACATTAGGTTGGTGGTGAATGGTAACTCTAAAGCGTTATTAACTTATTTACATCTACGGTGAAGATTATCGGAGCTGGGTTATGTCTTGCACGTTCATTGAAAAAAATATACTGACAGCAAGGTTTAACGGTGTCAGGGGACCTAGGTGATGCTGTGGTTGGTAAAATCAGTGACAGATCTTCCAAAAATTACTTACCGAGCATTTATATGCGTATAGAAACAATAAGAAAGCGTCCTAATATGCCCAAGGATTTCTTTTTGCGGAGCACTCCACAAACATAACCTGATATCGAATACTCATAACGGCAACAGACGTCTTGTGGTGTGTGCTACTTTTGTCGACACAAGTAGTATATGACGTTAGTCAGAAACACAATGTCTAGCAGCAGAGAGACAAGAGGAACGAACAGTAAAGAATGGAAACAGGATGCAATTTGTATGAAAATGCAAGAACAATAAAGTCTGAGTCATTTTAAGACAATTGATAGACATTTTACATTTTCTATATGGTTCTCAGATTTTATTGAGATGCTCTGTAATTTTGTGCTCAAATGAATTCGATTGTCCTCAGCGGTTTTCTTGTTCACTACAGTCTAGTCTATATTCATAGCTTTTGAAGGCAAGTGCTTGTTGTTGTGAATGGTCGCATGAGTCTAAAGCGAATAACAACCTTCAGGTTTGAAATAGCCGAGTGCAATAATCGTCAAGAAGACGGTTGAAAGTTTCGTTGTTCGTATTTGCGTATTCGAGTGATAAAATCCGTATGAGTTTTACATAAGCAAAACCATATACCTAAAAATGCCACAGGTACTCAGAGTTCGACTATCTTGTTTGTAAAACCTTTATTGTTGAATGATACCGACCTAGTCCAATCATTAATTAAGAATGAAGGAGTTTAAGGTTATATATGGTGTAGTGTCAGTTATTATGTTAAGCCCATATATCTTATTTTAGCTTTCGGACAGCCCCTTCTATTCATTCTACTTGAGTCACATTCTGACCTTGTTATTTATTCGCTTATCAGTCTTGACTGTTTTTATATGAGCGCGTAGGTGTGTGTATTTTTCTTATCCCATTACTCATCACATGTCTGTAACTTACTTTTGTGTAACTATAAATATTGATTAACGCTTGGTTAAATAGGAGTTGGCTTACCAGCCATCTCCATTCTGCGTCGTTTCTCTTCTTTCTACTCCATTCACTCTGTATACAAAATATATGTATTCACAAGTTCATTCTCGTTATTCGACTTATTTAATTCAGTTATTGACTAACGCGATTTAAGTCAATGATAATATACGAGAATAAGCGATATATATTTTTTAATAACAATCATTCACACGATCGAATTAAAGTCAGATCCACGGGCCACTAAAGTGGAGAGCTCTTTCAACAACATCGTTCGATCTAAATGACGATTAAATAACGGGCCTCCACAATAGGAGGTTATCTATATGCTGGTAAGTGTCTGATCTAAACTGGCTAATCGTCGCATGGGATGAGTAGCATGGCTTACCCACTCTTGATCTGCTACGGATGAGTGGTTGATCACCATCAGCTAGTTTGTGTCCATTAGAGCGGATGAGGTGGATTTATTTACCACCACATACCGAATTACAACGTCAATAAGACTAGAATGATCCTGGTAACTGATGATATCAAGAACCAAGCTTGCAATACTTTCCAAAATATAGTACTTATAATTTGGTTTCAGTTAAATGATTGTCTTATCTTTACATTTAATCTGTATATGGTAAACCTCGGAATTTTGGAATTGCATGGGTAAGTAAATTATAAAATTCCTCACTGTCTAAAGTAGCCCAGTTAACTTATGATGATTTCTTGATGAGCAAACTTGATTACTATAAAGACTGAGAATGACAACTGAATTTACTATATTGTCAATTTTATTGATCTACTTGTCGCAGATGCTTGAATCCCTCTTTGCAAACGTTGAAGATTCCTTTCTGCTGGACAAGAAAACTTGTTAGGTACAAGAGTTTTACATTCTGTCCATAACTACCTGAGCTTTGTGAATAGATACAGGTTTCAATAACTAATGTTTATTGCTTTCTGATTTTGCGCCACATACAGGGTAACAAGGTCATCTCTATTCCTTGTAAGGAATTAGAATTAAAGTTGGGTTTATCATTTCTGAAGTGGACTGTGCAATGAACATGAGATTAATATCGGCCCAAGATATATGTAGCCGCAATATCTATCGACTTTTGAGGAGGAATTCAGCATCGCAAGCAATAAAGCCGTTCTTTTATCAAGATATATTGCAGTTGGAGAAACCACCATATGCAGACACACCTTTTCGAAAGCTAACGGGTTCGTAGGAGTATTTTTAAATACTCAGCGTATTTATAGGAGATTTGGTTTCTTTTAAGGAGTTTGACAATATACGGCTTCTGAAAGTCGATTCTTTGGCACTAACGTTGTTGTCCGAGCAAGCCATGATAGACGTTGCTCATCTGCTAAGACCTGCTCACCTGCAGGTTTGTTTATCTTTCAAAGTAATTAAAATATATTTCAGTCTCTTTCAAATATCCTCAAGGATCCTGAGGCATCTAGCAACGATAAGTTTGTCGCACTTGAACTCCTGAAGAATGCCAATGTCGCATGCGGTATGATCCTACCTGGTTGTCAGGATACTGGCACGGCTATATGTATGGGCAAAAAGGGTCAGTTCGTCTGGACAGATGGGAATGATGCAGAATCTATTTCACGTGGTGTATATAATACATACACATCTAAGTTCCTTCGTTACTCTCAAGTATGTAAGTTCTCGCATGCTTGTGTTTACAAACCATCGTGAAATACTTTTTTATCCGGGGTCTGGAATTATCTGGATGAATATACACAAAAGTTTGGGAACCATAATTCGCAACAGTGACATATACCTTTACTCATCACGACGGTTGCTGCTACCTTGACGTGTTGGTCGGGCTTGCCTATCATGACAGACCATTCGGCGTTAAACTGGCTGGAATATTTGTTCCTCAAGGTCCTACCATGCCAGATAGGTCCGTTAAGGATCAATAAGATTAAAAACAGCAAACCCGAGGTCCGAGGGTGAAGTCATGCTGCTGACTGTACAAAGGTGTGTCGGTAGTAATGTGATTCCCGTAGAAAACCGGCATAACAGTAATGCGGCCTTCCCACAAGGTATGGTGAAGTCGGAAAAGGTTGACCCTAGAAATGCATACCTTGCATTGTCCCACGGATTTTTGTCTCCGGTGGTAAGGTCGCAATGAGTACGGAGCTAACATGAAAATTACTCTCGAAAAAGTCGTGTGTAACCAGCCTCAAGTAGTTGCCCCTTGGGCACTGCGGTCACGCTCTCAGGTCACTAAGATCATCTTTAATCCAATCTCTTTTTCAGGTACCTCTATTAGGACCCTTCCACGGTGTGGGCAACTGAGAAGGCAAAACTACCCTCATACCTCTAACAGCACGCAAGACCGGACCTTTATTATTCAAAGTCGGTAACTTACATATAATTCTTAGGCTTAGAAAACCATTCATTGACTGTCAACCTCCTTAAGGCAAAGCTTCAAAGGAGGAGTGACAATATGACCCTCCATCGAAGGCACTTTTGTCATAAGTCTTACTATTTGTATGGTGACGGGCTACGTTCTCAATACTTGTAGACACTTTTGGTTGTAGATAGGTAGGGGTTAAGAATTAAGATTAGTTCTGCATGTAATCTACTCTTAGAATCTGAACCTCGCTGACTTAAACGTCATTCATAATTTAACCAGAAATAACCAGTTCTTATTGTGTTCACTTTTTCGATTGTTAAGGGTTTCAGTGCAGGTAGCTCACTTGTGGTTGAAACCTAAAAATTCAGTAGACGTTTAACTTCCTTGAGTTTAGTCCTGTGTCACTTGTCTTTCAATTCTGCGTTATTCTTGGGAGCAGAGCATATCTACTGTCGTGATTCATCGATAGACAAACATACAAATCTCTACTAGTCAATCGAGTTCGTTGTTTTGGGTGACTTTATTTTAAGGAAGGTTGCGTCCTACATGTTTCATCACTGAATATGTATTGTTAGTTTTGTGTTTTATTATCTTACGCAATTCGTTTTTCTAAGACCTCTTTGCCTCTCCATTAGGTTGCTCCGCTAGATCTGTTTACGGAAAAAAACACTTGCACTAATCTACCAGCACAAATTGAAATATATTCAACGAGCGGCAGCGAATACAATTTTTTATTTGTTGCGAAGGGTGGAGGGTCTGCCAATAAAACTTTCTTGTATCAACAGACAAAGGCTCTTCTCAATCCTAATAGTTTGTACTCATTTGTCAATGAGAAAATTAAAGTAAGTTAACAGTTTTCTCATATCATTTTGTAGACGTTGGGAACTGCCGCTTGTCCTCCGTATCATTTGGCGATTGTTATTGGTGGGACCTCAGCTGAATTTACTCTAAAAACTGTGAAGCTTGCATCATGCAAGTACTTGGACCATCTTCCGTCAACAGGTCTGTTTGTGTTTTTTTCGCCAGTCAGATCACAGTTTCCCAACTTCTCATGTTTGAAAGTGGTACCTTGATTATGTTGGAAAATAGGACTTTAACTAAATACACTAACTTGCCATTTTATCAGACTAGTACTTTGGTTAAAGCAAAAACACGAAGGTGACATTTTTGGGTGGCATGGAATGACCCTGCTGTTACTGATGTACAAAGCACTCATAATTCCTATGTAATATTTAGATATCCATAAAAACAAACCTAATCCAGTCTCCAAATGATAACTGTAATAAAACTATCCATTTTGCCGTGATGTACAAGGAGCGCCTCAGTGTTATAGTCTGTGAATTACAACAACGGTTTTTTAAAACCAACTAAACATGTTATTCCTCAAGTAACCATTGCTTAAGTAGTTTCCTGTACTGACATAAACTCCTGGTTCATTTATGTGTTCCTTTATGCGGTTATTACTTGATTTTCTTCATTTTACCAAGTGTTTTTGCAGGAGGGCACTGAAAACGTGATTCACACAAACGGAAATGATGATACATCCACGGTGTATATATATCCTGTCATAGTATGGGCAACTGAAGTGTGAATTATCAGTTGTTAGTGACTTCATGGATCGATGCTACGTTTTGGTTTGGTTGCCCCTAGCTTTCTTACAGCCTACTCCCGCATCAGGAAACAGCGCCCGTCAGTAAAAGATGTAGCGAAGAAATAAATCTTTCCAAGGTCCTGTACGATTAGTCACATCAGAACTTATGTGGTGAGCTACCATCAGCATTTTCAATCTGAAGTGTTAGTTAGACATGCCCACTACCTCTATTTGTATTTAATTTCACCATAGATGTCCTAAAGACCATAATTTTTCCGTCTAGTTTTTCAGTGGTTGATTCCTCTGGAGAGTCACTAGTTTGCTTAGCGTGCTCAGAGGACGCAGTCCTATTCTATGAAGACGCTGACACATTGTGATCTCTTGAATTTCTTGAGTAACAATCTAAGCACATTTGAGATGCATTTCTTTCTTTAAATATGAGATGTTACTTCAAGACTGGTATACATCATTGCCTAAACTGATCATATTGAGTAAATCAGTTGAACTCAGTGACCATCACCTATCTTGGAATTGTTATCAGCCCTGTTGTGTTGGTGAGTGACGATATTTTGGTCTGGGTTCAAAAGTCTGTCTTTTGACTATTTCCATTGCTTGTGTAATAAGCGAGACGCCCGTCTATCTGTTAAAAGACATCTATTTATTTGAGCACAAATATTGGTACAAAAGGGCATCAGATACATATGCACCACAAGTCACTTGGTTTGTGTGTGGGCTGTGATACTGCCCGGGTGCCCAGAGCGAGCCAGGTGGTTTTTTAGAGGCCTTTGACCTAAGGGTCTGATCCACAAGGCAGTGAAGCAACGTTAGGAGATGTAGTCCTATGGTAGCCGGTAACAAACGATTGGTTCATAAGCGATTTCTTCCTTCAGGATACTGGAGTTCATATGCATCATTGTTTCGGAATCACGGTTTTCCAACTCCCTTAGGTGGACCCTCCATATCCACCAACCCGGTTAAAGCGCCGGACATTCGCTTTCTGTCCTTTCGATTTTGTAAATAACACCCTAGTGAGAGAATATAGTGAGTAGAACTTCCGTGGAACTGGCTGTATGTATGTGGCCACGTGAGAGCATTTCGAGAGGAAGAGCTAGTTCTCGTCACCCTCGGCCATACTAGAGCATGTTGGAGCGTTAAATAGAGAAATGTAGTGTGTATAAATCCTCTTTATGTTATTTTGTGGATGTGGAACATAGTGTGTGGAAATAAAGGACGTAGAAAGACTTCAGGTTTTTGATTATAAGTGTCTTTAAAGTGTTAATCATGTATCGTGGTGTGATCGGTTGAGTAGTGACGAGGTTAGGTGCAAGGTATTGGGCGAAGATTTTCACTGACGTAGCTTGTACGTGTGTTACACGTGCAAAATCACTGTCTGCGTGAATGTACAGTGTCTGAAGTGAGGGTAAGTTTTCTAAAAGCCAGAGGCAACCAAACAAAAATGTATTGTCATTTAGTAAAGTGGTTGGCTATCAGACTGGATTCTGTTGATAAATCAAAGTTACTTAGTTGACATTCAAGTGATAACCACGATCACTTGTGTAAGACGTTGAGTGAAATGGTTCAGAATTGGTGGCAGTATGCAGTTGCTTGTACTTTAGATCTTTTAATTTAGTTTTTTTTTCAGAATCATTCGGTTTTCGCATATTCTCACTATCGTTGCCACTACAATTATTTTAAACTCTCTGTTATTCAACTTGCTAATTTAATCTCGTTCCGATCGGGCTCGCGTTATTGGGTTAACGTACATTTATTTCAGGCTCTACCTTAATCCTTACTGACATTAAGAAATGTAAGAGATAGCTCGTACAGTCAGTAAATAAATAAACATCCATAGTATTTCATAAAATGGACAGTCCAGTTAAAAATATAGTCAAAATAAGTTTCGTTCAGCTAAGGTTTATCCTACTTTTACACTGATCTTAGTGGAAAGCTACAGTAGGGTCACCATCGACTTTTATTTTGAATCATATTTTTGATGAAATCTCAAGTCAGTGAGTTTCATGATTCGTAGGGCTCCCACCATTAAGTTTTGATAATCCGTATCATATCATCTAGCCAAATAATGCACGGTTGAAAATCATCTGGATAACATTCATGAAATACGTCTAAGTTACAAGGGCCACTGTTTGAAGTGTTTATTTGTGCAGATCTACAGCTTTTGTTGAGTAACATGACACATAATTTTTATATTTTTGTAGTGTTATTAGAAATGGGCCTTCTTTTTAAATCATGAGAAGTATGGAAGTAAGTTCACTAATTACCTACCTTCAAGCGTAAATTCTCGTGTGAAATAGCTGTCCCTATGCATACCCGAAAATTTCTTTTCAAGACATCTTTTCCACTCTGTTTACTGATCCTGTGTTTTGTTCAGTATTTAACAGATAATTGCATGTTAAATCTAGGTAATGAACATGGAAGAGCTTTTCGTGATCGAGAGGCTGAAGAAAAAATATTGGAATTAACTCGGAAAGTTGGGATAGGAGCACAGTTTGGGGGAAAATACTTCTGTCATGATGTACGGGTAATCCGCTTGCCCAGACATGGAGCATCATGTCCCGTTGGTATTGGCGTCTCTTGTTCTGCAGACAGGCAGGTATTTTATATCAAAACCACCGTTTTTGTAGACTTTCTTAAATTGCTTTTACTGTTTAGTTGAGCAGTAAGAAAGCTCAATGAGAACTGACTGGATTTTAAAGTTTTATTCATAATCCCTGTAACGTTATGAAGTGCGACTAAACAAATTCTAATCGTATTTTCATTTATATAACTGTACACAACATATCTTGTTTTTTAGCCGATATTCTGTTCCAGAGTTCTGCCTGATTTCTGTTTATTATGCTGACCCGACCGTTGTTGCTACCTTGACGTGGTGGTCGGGCTTGCCTATCGTGATAAAGCAACCGAGCTATACTGGCTGGAACAACCGTTCCTCAAGATCCTACCATGTCAGACAGGTCGGTTGAAGAGCAGTAAGACTAAAAGCAACAAACCCAACTTCCGAAGGCGAAGTCGTACTGCTGACTGTACAGAGGTGTGACAGCAGTAAGGTGTTTCCTTCAGACAACCAGCATGACAGCGATGCTGTCTTCCCACAAGGAGGGGTGGGGTTAGAAAAGGTCGACCCTAAAAATGCACACCTCACCTTACCTCACGGATTTCCGTCTCCGGCGGTAAAGCCCTTTGAAGAACGGAGCTAACAAGTCAAAAACCTCCCACGAAAAGGCCGTGCGCGACCGGCCTCAAGCAGTTGTCCCTTGGGCACTGCTGTCACGCTCTCAGGTCACTGAGACCACCTCTAATCCAATTTCCTTTTCAGGTACTTCCAGAAGAACCCTTCCTCGGTGTGGGCAACCGGGAAGTGATAACCGCCCTCATACCTCTAACAGCACCCAAGATCACTGTATTCATAATCAACCTTCCTCTTCAATTCCTATTATTCCTCCTACATCGACTTTCCACTCTAAACTTCCTCTTTCGGCTTCCTCCTCAAGTGTCACCATAGCCAACGATTCTAGTGCTCAAAACCCTGTCCCAGGTCTACTGAAACCTCGCTCTAAACTACACATTGGAGCCTTCAGCGTACGAACCCTATGTCAAATCGGTCAGCAGGCTTCCTTGGCTAAAACCCTAGAGTTTCTTTCCATTGATGTATGCTGTGTCTCCGAAACACGCATACAGGATTCCAATGTGGTCATTCACTTGACCTCACCTTGGCAAAACGGAGACCCAACAAGATACACCCTCCGTGTATCTGGTGACCCTGTGGCCAGTTCTCGTAGACTGGCAGGTGTAGGCATAGCGGAACAAGCACTGCTAGAGTGGATCCCCGTCAACAGTCGTCTATGTGCTGTTCGGTTAAACGGCTCCGTAAGAACTCGGAAGGATAGGGATACACGTCGTTGCCTTTTCGTCGTTTCTGCCTACGCTTCCACTGACTGCAGCTCAGAAGATGTGAAAGGTGAATTTTACAGAAAGCTTTCTGAACTTCTTCAGAAAGCTAAACGCTCAGACATAATACTCATAGGGGGTGACTTTAATGCTCAGATAGGTAGCTTAAACCAAACAGAAAGGCATTTAGGTGGGTATTTTAGCATTCCGGCACAGCGAACAGATAATGGTGATCGTCTGCCGCAGCTATGCTCAGACAATCGTTTATTTTTAGCAAATACAAATTTTAAGTATAAGGAGAGACATCGTCTAACATGGCGACCCCCTACACCAAACCAACGATGGACTCAAATAGACCATATTGCCATCAGTTATCGTTGGAGAGGGTCGGTAGAAGATTGTCGCTCATTCTGGAGTACCTGCTTGGACTCCGACCATGCCCTAATACGGGCACGCATCTGCTTGCGCCTCACTGGACGCAAAAAAGCCACATTAAAAAGACCTGTTAGAACTAAGTTGAGTAACGAGAAAACCAAAAGTAGGTTCCAGGAACAACTGAGGTCACGATTAGGTAGTTCTGAAGACGAGGTTGACCCAGTTGTTGCTTGGAAAGCCATACAAACAGCTGTGGAAACAGCAGTGACATCTATCAGTGATTTAAACCACAGGGTTTCAAAGAACCAGTGGATTTCTTCAAAGTCTATCACACTGATGGATTCTCGCAAACTCGTCCCATCAGGTTCTGAACATGATGAAGAGCGACAACAAATCAGATCTAGGTTAAGAAAAAGTCTAAGAAACGACCGTGAGCAGTGGTGGGCAATGAAAGCAAAAGAGATGGAAAAGGCGGCGACTATAGGGAACACAAGACAGCTTTACAGACTAATAAAAGAAACTGGAATTAATAAGTCAAGTGTAAGTCAGACTATTTCGGAAAAAGACAACACCCTCATCTGCTGTCGGTCCAGACGTTTAGAACAATGGGCGGAACATTTCAGAGAACAGTTCAACTGGCCTTCAGCTACTACCCTCCATTCCCAGACAGTGTGAATGGAACATTGAAGTAGGTCCCCCAACTCTTGCTGAAGTTGAGAAGGCTATAGTTAATCTGAAACGAGGAAGGGCAGCTGGTCCAGATGGACTGGCTCCAGAGGTCTTTAAGGATGGTGGTCCAATTTTAGCGATTAGGTTGACTAATATTTTAGCTAGGATCTGGAAGTTAGACGTTATCCCATCTAACTGGTCACAATCACTTATCGTCCCAATATATAAGAAAGGGTCAAAATCATCCTGTGACAACCACAGAGGGACTAGTTTAACAAATATAATATCTAAAATACTAGCCTCGATAATTATCAGACGCCTAACTAAGACTCGTGAACTGCAAACACGAGAGACTCAAGCTGGCTTCAGACCTGGTTGTGGCTGCATCAACCACATATTCACCATTCGTCAGATTCTAGAACACAGGCATACTTATCGGCGTCCGACGATGGTGGTCTTTCTTGACTTAAAAGCAGCATTTGACTCGGTAGACCGCGAGATTCTGTGGCAGTGTCTGTCATTAAAAGGCGTACCACAAAAGTACATAAACCTTGTGAAGGCTCTTTACTCGAACACTACTAGTCGAGTCAGAGCTTATGGCGAACTGTCATCTACTTTTGTAACCTCAAGTGGTGTCCGTCAAGGCTGTCCACTTTCCCTATTTTTGTTTAACTTCATCATAGATCTTCTGATGGAAATAACTTTCTCGTCGACTGAATTCTCGGGTATTGATCTCCATCCAGGAGGTCCACTTATCGACTTAGAATACGCAGATGACATAGTCCTGTTTGGTGAAGACGCTGATAAAATGCAGAGTCTTCTGGTAGCACTAAGCAACAATGCCAGAATGTTTGGAATGCGCTTCTCTCCCTCTAAATGCAAGTTGTTGCTTCAGGACTGGTCTGCGTCAACACCTGAACTAAGGATAGGGAGTGAAGTAGTCGAACGCGTTGGCAACTTCACTTATCTTGGAAGTCTGATCAGCCCTAATGTGTTGGTGTCTGACGAAATCTCAGCACGGATTCGAAAAGCTCGTTTGGCTTTTGCCAACTTACGTCACCTGTGGCGAAGGCGAGATATCCGTCTATCAATAAAAGGACGGGTATACTGCGCGGCAGTTCGTTCTGTTTTACTTTACAACAGCGAAACATGGCCATTAAGAGTAGAAGATATTCGTAAGCTACTAGTATTTGACCACAGATGCCTTAGAAATATTGCTGGCGTCTGCTGGGATCACTGGGTAAGTAATAGTGAGGTTAGACGCAGGGTATTAGGGAATGATGGTAAATCAGTTGATGAGGTTATGAATCTTCATCGACTGAGATTTTTGGGCCACGTGTTACGTATGCCTGAACACCGACTACCACGACGTGCACTGCTATCCGGTATTGGAGATGGTTGGAAGAAAGTTAGGGGCAGCCAAACCAAAACGTGACAGCAGTGCCTGAAGACACTAACTTCTAGTCTGAGCCATGTTGGTAGATGCAGACTACTTGGTTGGGGTCCGCGTGACTTTCGTAACCAATGGTTGGAGACTCTTGGTGACATGGCTCAGAATCGATCACAATAGCGCCAGTGTATACACTCCCTGTCTTCCCTTAAACTAAGAGATTAAAATCACTTCATATCTTTCTTTCTACGAACCAATTCTCTCTTCTTGTACTATATCTCTATATGCAATCTTTCTCTTATATATTACCACCTTTGACCTAACCACTGCTGTGAATCCGGTGCTCATCTTGTTGTGCTGATGCGGTATGGCAACCTGGACCGATGCACATATGTGCCTGGTCTTACGTTGTAGCTGACTGACTGACTGACTGACTTATTATGTGAATTTAATTCTGCCGGGTTCCTCAACTAAGAAAGGAGAGTAGTACCTATGAAGCAAGTAGAAACATTTAAGTACATGAATTCATATTGCAGGATATATCTACTAAGCATAAGTATTTTCACTACTAAAAGTACCTCGTAACAATATCTACAACTGTTTCCAAGTGTTCCAGTAGTTTAGCTTTACTTCTGTTAATATATTATGAAGCTGATTAATCTGTGTCTATATTGACTCCTGTTTTACTTATTTCTTTATTCATATCTAATATCTTCCAGTTATATGGAAAACTTGTGTAGACGCCTTTCTTAAGTGAGCTACCTTTGGAAAAACCTCATACTAACGCAGCTTAAGGTTCATGGGCACATGTTTACTTTGTCAAACTCATTATTTTGTAAAACTGATTATCAGTTTTCGTGCTACTTTTTCGTATATTGTTGTGCAATTACAAATAAAGTAGTGTCGGCTCTTTGTTATGTATTTGGTAACGACCGTTATCAGAAAGTTACATCAGTTGTGATTAATCAACAGATAATCTTTTATTTGAGGGCTGTACGTTTTCGTTCATGATATTTTGGACTGCATTTAATCAGTATCTCTTGGGATATGTGCATCCTGAATGACTCGCTTTACTCATTAACCTAGTGGATAATGTGTTTGCATTTAAAGCGATTGATACTGGTTTTAATTATCAATGTAAGCATCAACACTACGTTCCAGGTATATCCAACCATAGGGTTTTAACTCGGACAAAACTTGTGCTTTGTACTCCACTGCTAACCAAAATCTGAAAATATGCCAGGAAATCTTCCATTCAGTGGTTAGCTGGCTTTTAGAAAAATATTTATTCACTGGATCCTCTAGTTTTTTCTCGAACGACGGTTATTTTTTCAAAATGAATGCTGTTCGAATCATTACAAATCTGTGTGCTGTAATCAGGTATTCAATCCCTTTTAGATTCTGGGAAGAATAACTAATGACGGAGTTTTTCTTGAGCAGCTAGAAAGTGACCCATCTAAATATTTACCTGATCCATCTTTTAATCAACTTCCAACTGATGTTGTGAAAGTGAATCTGAATCTTCCAATGAAAGAAATTTTAGCTGAACTTTCTAAGTACCCAATCAAAACTCGTTTATCACTAACTGGGACTTTAGTTGTCGCTCGTGATATCGCCCATGCAAAGATCAAGGTTAGTTTTCGAAATAAATCGCTGTGTTAAGTTTTCCGTCTGTTAAGTTGTTTCAGTATTTTATGCCTGTCCACATAGTGTTTTCGGCAAAACTAACTACAGTCTAAGATCTGTCTTACACGTTTTGATTTGCATTGTGCCAGTGCTGCAGAAATTGTCGAAACTGATAAATTTTATCCTGTAAATGTTAGTTTTATGGATGCTTGTTGAATAATCCATCATTTCTTAGAATTCCGACCAGAATCAGTCAGAAGAGGATCATAATTTATGGGCAAATCAGTCAGATTCGAGATTGCGACTCATGGATTTTGGCTCGAAATTTATCCATATGGCTACATAACATTTTGGGATTATAGGTGATACCAGTTCATGATTGAAATTCTAATTCTCGACTCTTAGTTCTAATTCCTCACACTAATTTATAACCTTATTTGGACCCTGATTTCTACACTGTCTGATTGACTTCGACCCTAATAAGTGGTTGAAGTTTTTCAAGGCCAATTTAGTATAGCTCAAAGGTCGTCCATAAATTATAGTCTAGCCCCGCCTTCTTATATCCTCTCGGTTGTCGGGGTCTGGGTCGGAGGTTTATTATGAGTGTACTCCGAATTTGGTTGTATGCCAAGGTAATACGTAAGGTAATGACTTTTGATAAAGAGTAATCCTTAGGACATCATTTTTTGAGTTAGTTTACAAAATTTTCATTCCGTAGAACTTGGCGGAGTGTGAAGTGTTGACCAACCAGTCTTCTCTTTGATTTTTGAGTTCATGGTAGGTAATCTTGTAAAAATTCCGTCTTCCTATCTCCCTATCGTTAGTATGACGAAGTAGGCTTGACTTCATTTCATTTTCCGACTGCTACTACCTTTAAAAATTATCAACTCAATCATTATACCCACAGTTGTTCTTGGGTTTGATGCTTGAATATTTCTGATTTTCTTGCACATAGGCAACTTTTGAAGTTTAATGGATTCATAATTTAATGGTTTCTCCAGTATTTAGCTATGGTCAGAGGTTAAACATTGATCTGAATAAAACAGTATGATCATAAGACTAACTCGGTTAGTATTTTAGCACATATTATTTCCAAACGACTAGATAAAGCACTTTAATTAGATCTACTAACGTTAATAAACCCCTTATATAATCCCATGTACACTAAATTCCACACGATTAATCTTTTATTAACTGTAAAGGAACGTCTTGATTCTGGCCAACCAATGCCTGACTATTTACGTAATCACCCAGTGTATTACGCTGGTCCAGCTAAAACACCTATGAATTATCCTAGTGGGTCTTTTGGACCAACCACAGCTGGTCGCATGGATTCTTATGTTGATCAGTTTCAGCAGGCCGGAGGAAGTATGATTATGTTGGCCAAAGGTAACAGATCAAAAGCTGTAAGTCAGTGTTTGTTAACATGTGAACTTGTCTTGTTAACTTACTGCAGAATACACTCGCTTTTTTTAAATATTTTGAACTGTTCTACGTAGTCACTTATTTCACTCAGTAAATAATATTATCTTTTGTGATTTGATTATTTTTGGCAGCTCATGTGTTTACAGATCATTTAATCAACAATCGAAAACAGTGTTTAATAAAGTTTCCATTGTAGACTGTTATTGAACTGATAGAACAGCTGAAAATATTTTCTCATTGTACAGACGGAGTTGACCATACACAATTCTAGATAAAAGTGTTCGTGTCGTATTGTTTAGTATACTATGTTTTACGATCAGGCGAACATTAAGTTAACGTCAAAATGCTCCTGATTATCATAAGACATTCCAGTCTTTGTAGTGTAACAACTGTCTGTCTCACTATCAGCGTTCATACAACTTTCTAGATACATAAACTTTACTCTTTTCATTGGTTAATTATCTACACTCACTTCAAGTACAATACTTTTCTAATTGATAATCACACACTATTTCTGCAAACACTCATCGTCTACTATACAACTAGGATTTGATTAACACCCATATACCCTCACTTATAATATAGTAAAAAAGTCGATAGATGCAGACTACTTAATTTGGGTCCATGTGGCTATCGTAACCAATGGTTGGAGAGTGGGTGACATGGCTCAGAATCGATCATAATGACGTAGGTGTATACACTCTCTATCTTCTCTTAAGCTATGAGATTAAAATTGCTTTATACATTGCTTTATACGTTGTAGCTGACTGACTGACTGATACATTTCTTTCTGCCAACTAATTCTTTCTTCCTGTACTATATTTTTATATGCAATCTTTCCATTTATTTCCACCAATGAATTTACTACTTCTATGAATTCTATGTTCACTTTGTTGTGCTAATTTGAACCGATGCATATATATGCCTGCTCCTACGTTGTAGCTAACTGACTGACTGAGTGGAAAGTCTGTCTTGTTAGTTGGTAATAGTTTTGAGTTTATGTTAACTAGGGGGATCGGGAGCATGATCCTCTCAAATGCTTCAATCTTGGACGAAATAGGCCCCTATACCCTCGCTTGTTTTAGCTGCTCTTCGTTTACCGACTGTAGTTGGGGATCGATCCTAATATAATTTTTGTTCTTTGATTAATGTCACTGTGATATGTATAATACAACATTGTTACATATCAAAGGAAACACTGGCTACTGAATATTTTGTTATAAAACAATCACTGTGAAGCGCGTTTTTATGTTATTTTTAACTGGATATTTGGATCTTTGTTTTGATATTACAGGTGGCAAATGCATGTAAAAAACATGGAGGCTTTTATCTAGGTTCAATTGGTGGTCCAGCTGCAATTCTTGCTCAGAATTGTATAAAAAAAGTTGAAGTTCTTGAATATCCTGAACTAGGTGTGTTAAATATCTTATTAAATTAACGTATTGTTTTATTTTGAGAATTTTCATCACTTAAACTAATTCTTTGTATTTGATAATTTAAGGAAGAGAATTTTTATTTTTAATCTGTTCAATCTTGACAATTAGGCTTATCTATAAAGCTTAAATTGTCGATTATTTAACAGTCAAATTTATCCAAGATTCTCTCCATATATGTATTAAGTTATTGTTGTTTCTTTTAATTGAAAAGGTTTTATCACGTGGGTTTTTTAAAAATATTAAACTGTAGAAAGAGTATAGAAAATTTGACTTGATCTTAATTTTTGTAAGTTGAGACAAGTCATACCCTTGTTACTTGTTTTATGTTCAAGGAAGCTGCTTTAGTTAGGTTCATCATTAGCAATCAAGTCAGAATTTCATATGTCGCCATATTTGTTTAATAAATCGTCGCGCTTTTTCAAAAAACAGATGCAGTTTAGACTACTGTGTTCCTTGTGACTATTGCGTCAAGATGTCCAATTTTTAGTCATGGTAGCTACTTTTCTAAGTACTAATCTTCATTACTATTTTTGTTATTTCCTATTAAGAGGAAAGAGAATGAATAATTCCAGTGTCATAGTTGAAATTGCAAGAATCCTCATTACTACACTGGTATCTGCTCAAATATCATCTGTAACACAGTAAATAAATTTCATGGTTACTTTTTTTTAACTATATGCTTCATTCAGCTGTTATGCCTTGGTAATACATTTATAAACACCTTATGTTGTTTCTCTGTACATGGAACTTGTTAAGTGTTTATATATATTTCAAAGGCGTCATAAATAATCTAGTCTGGCTAATATCGCACTGTATCTTGGTGTTCGAACTAAAATTTGTCATGTGTTAACCCATCAGGACTGACCCGACTCTAGCCATTCGCCACCATGTTTCCTGTTGTTAATTAGGTCTGTCAGCAGTCATATACTGATTTTAGATAAGTTTTAAGTTATATTTTAAAAAGATCCACATATTTGATATCAGAATAATATAATCTTCAAGGAAATAATTATTGTACGTGGTTCTATATCATGGGTCACTGTCGAAGCTGTGTATTATTGATCTAAGGTGTTACACAAATTGTTACCAACGGCTTAATTTTAATTATTTTTTGTTCACTCCTTGTTTTGTTTTTTTATTCTGACTGGTCATTCAATTGATTATATATATATATATTTATTGTTTCAGGAATGGAGGCCATTTGGCGTGTTGAAGTTGTGGATTTTCCTGCTTTCATAGTTATCGATGATAAAGGCAATGATTTCTTTAAAGAATGGCAAGTAGAATGAAAAAGAAACTAATTGGCGAAATACTTTTAAAAAATATCTGAAAGTTTTTCTTTCTAATTTCATTTATTGGTTTATCAATTTATCTGGTCGTATCTATTTTCATTGTTTAATTTTTTTGTTGGAACTTGTTCTTTAATTGTGAATACAAGTCATTAACAATATATAGCTACTCAGGTGTGTTATCTTAGTGTCAGATGTTAAGCAATTAATTGATTTGATGACTGCAATCTTCTGTGCTATTTTTTTAAAACTTCACTTATTTCATTAAAATAAAATCATCTTAACTGAGTCAATATTTCAGTTGTCTTACAACGGGGTCGGTTTCTTACAGTCTGCAAACATTGGTTGACTAAATTTAATATTTTTATGTATAAATTATTTTAAGGCATCTTTACGAGAAAGCAATATAGTTAGTTAATTTACGTAAATGAAAATGATCGAGACCATTTTTCACAATCGTTTATTATTTAATTTAACTTGCGACACTGATTCGAATATTAATGTGGAAGTAGGGTCAGTGTTACTGGACGAAATTCGGTCCCATCATAAAATATTTTTTTCCAAACAGCTTAACTCGGCTGTTGTTTTAATTTCAGGTACATTTAGTGGATATTGAGTTTTATATCCTAATGGTGTACTTTTCTAGTAAAATAACCCAACATTGACATCTTGAGTCATCATGACAGTTTTTCTAAGTCTGAGTTCTTGACAAAATCCACTGGTATTTACGTGTGAGCAGCGTTAAAATATTGGTATTTTCTAAAGTAAAAATATATGTAGATAAATATAAGCAGACGTGGATAGTGGCTAGAAGTGGAATTCAGGACTCGCGTTTCGTCGTACTTGGGACAAATCAGCTGGATGTACCTGCATCTCAGAGTTGATGTTCACTCTGGCACTCGAACTCTGTACCGTTCGCTTCAAACACCAGCACGTTATCCATTTAGCTACTGAGTCCTGATAACCACTTGCTTGTACAATGGGGTGAAGTTTAAATTCACTTCATATTGTTTATTTGAATCTTTCCATTGATGCTTATTACTGCAATTGATCAGTTTCTTATTGATAAATGTGCTATCTTTTGATGATTACCTCGATATTGTCTTATAATGTGAATCAAGGCAATATGCACATATGCCAATAAGAGACTGATCGATTGCAGTCCTATACATCAATGGGAAGATTCAAGTAAACAATACGAAGTGAATTTATGTAGACAACTGTTGGTGTGAATTTCATGTAGCGCTCTTATAACTACTGAGAGTTTTGAATACTAGAGTAGGCACACATGAACTTCTCATATAAGCACAGTGCGAAGTTGCAGTTAGCACTTTCTATTTTGAAGAAGCTGTGCGTAATTGGGATTTGTAGCCATTTCTAAACTCACTTGTACTCATGCGAGGGTGTATTTCGTATTATTAAAGTTGTAATAGTAGGTAGACTAGGATCAGTCTTTTTTTATAGGTGGCAATCCTCTGAGCTTCTCATGTACATGTAAGATGTGGTTGAGTTTGCTTGCGTCAGTAGTTATTTATATATGGTAGTTGGTGATCAGTGCAGGTGTATATCGGCTTTTTACATGCCAGTGGATAATTCTAATAAAGGAATTTTGAACCATTTTAAGTAGTCATTATTGGATATTTGTATTTCCCGATTCACATGTATGGTGAAACAAAATTTTTGGAATATAATATGTATAGATTATAGAGTTGAGGATTAGGTTAAGTGTATAGCTTACATACGTTTCCAGCAAAAATATACTTATGTCTTTTGAGTATCGGGAGAAATTAGCCTCTTGTAGTTCACTTTTTTTCTTGTCAATTTCTTGGGGATTTTATGTCATTCCTTGAAGATTTATGTTGTCCTAATCTAACTGGCTTTGATGGTTAACATGAGGATATTGGTATTTGATGAATATTTTAATTCAATAAATACTTATCTCATGGATTAGTTTGATTACATAAATAATGTTTTAATTATTTTGTTGGATAAATCCCAAAGTTATTAGGTAGATAACGTTAACACACGAACAATTTGTGAGGAAAACCAATAACTTGATCGAAGATTATCAGTCATTTGAAGGAGAACTATAATTCAAGATAAATATGATAGACCAAGTTTATCTTTAACAAAATTATGTATCGGCAATCTAATTAAGAAAAGCAAAGAAAGAGAAATTAATCTATCCAATCTATAGGTCATCTACAACTGATCGATTATTGGTTGGTAATTTCACATTCTAATGAGCAGCTTTAGTTGTTCTATTATTCGTGATGCGGGATTAATTTTCTTCACATTTATAACGTGAAATGATTAATTACATGTTTTGTTTTCCGAAATGTCATACAGATTACTCGAGATATTGCTCAGTCTTAACACAACCACAAATATTCTGTTATTAAGCAAAGAAAGGGGATTTATGCAGTCAAGAATATCTCACGACAATTAAGGGCAGTTTTCAAAATCATATTAACTTTGATCAGGGGAAAAAAACTTCGAGGTGTCGATTAATCAATGTAAAGGTCAACTATGTAAAATATATTATACAGGAACTGCTGTTACTAAACTAATATTCGTTTTGTACTCTATTCAGTAAATAGCATATTTCTGCAAAGTTGTTTCATTTTTGAAGAAAAAACTTAATTGTATGTCAGTCATAATTGACCTCTTATCAGTTAAAGTAAGTTGGTTTTATTTACATTGGAGTTTACAAATGACGTAACAACAACTGTGTTTTGAAAGGTAAACAATAATAATATCTAAAAGTAACTGTGAAAAGATTGGTAATTCATAATGCTGGAAGATTATGTATGCGTATATTTGAGAATTTAAATTCGATAATACAAGTGGAGTTGTCAATCACAGATATTTTGTTTCAGTGCTCTTATTCTATTGAATTACTTAGATAGATAAAACAGTTCTGAGATAAATGTAAGTTTATAAACCTAAAAAAAATTATCATTCATAATCTATAATGCCAAGTAAAAAGCTGTCAACTAATATTTTTTGATTAAAATATATTAATGAAATTAAGTGATAGTCTCAATCGATTGTCATGTCATGTGTGTCAAGTCCTTCTTAGTGCAGATCGAATGCTATCGACAAAGTTGCAATGTGGCCACTAGTCTAGGTGACTCGACATTGCGTGCACTATGCTGAGATTCGATGATGGTTGGAGGTAGTCAACAGGAAACCCGGGTTTTCGTGCTGCTTGGCACTCATCAGCAAGGTGTACCTGTTATCTTGCAACTTGGACGATAGCATCCCATCTGCACTAAGAAGGCCTTGACACACACGACATTAATCACCACTCAGTGATCAATCAATTGTGAGAACATCCCAGTCCTACAGGAGGTTGGTTGCGGTCTGGATAGCCCAGCGATAACGTCTCTGATTGTGAAGCTGGGTGACACGAAGTCGGATCCGTCAGGGAGCACCAGTTCCCTCAAGATTACAGGTACACCTTGCTGATGAGTGCCAAGTAGCACGAAACTCGGGTCCAGGGTTTCCTGTTAACTACATCCAATCACCATCTTAGTGATAGTACCTCTGATATTGACTAATATTGTAATATCAGCCATAGGAAATATTTATGAGAACGAAAAGATTAGGAGGATTGTACTATTTGTAAGATCTATAGGTCATAGCTTTGACTATATTTACAATCATTAGGTAACATTGCTAAGAAGCCAAAAATTATAATGAAGCAACGTTTTACGTTTTTGTTTAGTTTCTAAGTGGATGAAAACTACCTAGAAAAGTCATATTTAAATGTATTGATACTGTTTCATTTCAACTATGCTATAACCGGTAAGAATAATTCTCTTTTAAAAAAATAGATTGTATGAACTGAAGAATTTGAGAATTCATGGAACGCCGCTTTATCTGTAAACTTGATATCTTTTTTTGTGAATACTGTTTCCAATTATATGATGCGTTTTGTAAGCAATTAGAAGATAAATGTCAATTTATAAAAACTACCCATTTACTTTAATTTACATTATGATATAATTTTATCAGGTAGTTATGTTAATAATACACAAAATAATATTGGTAATCACAATTTATCCGTGCTACATAGACATAAATTACTGATTTAAATTTGTAAGATAAATATTTTTATCTTTTTTTAGCTATAGAGAAATGATATTTCTAAAAATTTAATTAATTTTGAACTATAAACGTTATTCATGTTGCTATGCAGAGAAATATTGAGATGGTGGAGAAGATTTGTAGCTCAGGTGGACGATTTTGATGTTTTGTTCTCTCATCTAGATGATTTGGTTGTGGAGCTTTCATCGTTCTTCTGAACGATAGAAGTCTATCTATCTGAAGTTTGTGCTGATGATGTCGTTCAAACGAACGATGAAAGCTCCGCGACCGAACCATCCAGCTGAGAGAACAAAACTTCAGCACAGAAATATCCTTATCATAATTTTATATAGTAGCTAATAATGAACGTTATTAATAACTACTTTCTAATTAAAGGATAATGTTATCTATATTGACATATAAATTTTTGAAGAGATAGACATAATTTATTATGACAATAATTCATAGTTTGATATTTTCTCTAAAATTTTAGATAAACATTTTGATTCTTTTATTTTGTATTTAAATATCAATATACTAGTATCCGTTTTTTAGTATACGACGAATACAAGAGAAGTTGTGTTCTGATCTTTTATTATGATAAATTCTTTGGTAACAGTATAACGTAGGGGTGATCTTGAAAAGGAAAAAAGAGAAAACGCCACAAACTTTTAACTAGTTAATCAATCAGAAAATAATTTTGATCAGTAAATAGATTATGAAAAATAATCAAAAATATTTTGAAGGGTAAATAGATTTTATATAATTAATGAATGTACTAGAGTGTTCTAAAAGTTATTCTGTCAATAAAATAGAAAAAAATAACATAAATTCGCCCATAAATATAAAAAATATCTTATCGTGATCACGAAACGATCTAGGTTAGACAACTGTTGAAAAACTGGAAGCAGTGGACGACAGTATCGGAAATTGATTCAAGTCAGACTTGAATACCATTGGATGCCGCCTCAGTGGTTTGAAGGATAAGTGTTCGTGCGTGAGATCGAAGGTTTTGGGTCTCAACTGTGTGGTCGTGGATACACACTGTTTGGTAGCTCCATAATGAAACGAAACAGCTGTTCAGTGCCTCCAAATTTCTAATACTGTTCTAATTGAGATCGATTTGTGTCCCAATGAAATTCAATACTAAAAATCCTTATTGATAAAGAAGGTATGTCTGCTCAAACCCTCATAAAAGC